CATGGTTTTGTGTGACAAAACTGCACATTTTAATGGCATTTCATTGTCCTCAGCACAAGGTGCACCTGCGTAATGATCATGCTGTTCAATCATCTTATTGATATGCCACATCTGTCAGCTGGATGCATTATCTTGACAAAGGAGAAATGCTCACTAACGGGGATGTAAACAAAGTTGTGCACAAAATTTGAGAGAAATAAGCTTTTTGTGCGTATGGAAAATTTCAGGGAACTTTTATTTCAGCTCATGAAACATGGGACCAACACTTTACATGTTGCGTTTATATTTTTGTTCAGTATATTTAGAGATGCAAAAAAATCCAAGACCAGCTGTAATACTTTTGTACTGTACAAAGGGAACTTTGTTAGCTTGCAGCCAGGTAACTTCCAGGTTAATAGGCGTATAAAGTTGTCACTGTACGTTATTATATCATGTTATCATGCTGTAAGACCTTTGTACCCTTGATGTTGTTTTCACTGATTCTCTACAGCTTACCGGTCCGACCCGACTCTCTAGCAATCCGTTTTTCTTCCGGTCTCCTTCCTGTCTCCTTCCTGTCTCCTTCCTGTCTCCTTCCTGTCTCCTTCCTGTCTCCTTCCTGTCTCCTTCCTGTCTTCACATTCTTGGTCTTTATGCTGTTCCCATCTTCTTCTCTTGTTCTGTCTCTTTGGTTTTTAACTACCTAATTTCTTCTTCTGTTTTCACAACTGACCATGAAAACCCTCAAAAGAAATCATAAAAAGTCAGTCTATTAATAATATAAAAGAAGGTTCATTGCTACTCATCTGTAATTACTGTGTATAGGATGGGTTGTCATGAACCTTTATCTAACGTCAGTCCGTGTGACCGTGTTTGAAATGTGTATTGTTTGATAGCTCTGGTAATTTCACGGTCAATCTCTTGACTTAAAAAAAAAAACATGAACAGTGTCCCCTCATCACCTTTTAGGCATGATTTTATTAACGTTGCCACTTCCTCTTTTAACACAACTAACTCAGCAAATAAAACAGGTCCTCTATTCCTTCTCAACAGTCCAAATACAAAACAGATACACACAGGTAGGAAAAACAGAATAATTTAAACCAACAATATCATGCAGAGCGGAACGACAAGGCAAGCTAGACGTCAGTCAATGGCCGCGTTCCAGACTGACTAAATTACAGATGCCTGCCAGATCTCACAATGCCTGTATAGATATCGGTTATGCAACACCTGCAATGTAGTCGGCCTTGAACGCGCCCATTATTTTTCACTTCATAGTGTTAGCTAGTACCCTGAAAATTAAGTGTTCTCATATAAACCTGTATATATATATATACACACATTAAAAAAAAAATTGTTAGGCCAATATCTGATAACTACTGAAGTATATTATGTACCTAGTACAAAATTAAATAAGCACGAATACAATAAAATAAATCGTAAATAATCCATAACATTACATAATAACTACAGAGACAGAGATTAAATAAACACATTTGGTGAAAATAATTATAACAATATGAAGAAAAAAAAATTAGGAGAAAGGGAAAGTTTGATCCAGCATTAACAGAGGGAAAAACCTTCCGAATCCTCAGCTCTCACACAATCGCCACTATTACACACACACACACACACACACACACAACTAATTCACTCAACTCTGCTCCTCCACCGCACTTACTTAACTCAACCACCAGGGAGCGGTACAACCACATTGCATTTCTACACTACCATACTCGTGGAAGGGGGGGGGGGGGGGGGGGGGGGGGGGGGATAGTGGGTAGGTAAACCACTCACACAGGATGGCTAATCTTGAGTGATTGAAGCGTACAGTCCAGTCCTCCAAGTCTATATTTATTCCACCAGAGTGGCTGGCTAGTGGCAGAGCCTCATAACACTGATTATCAGGGACCTGGGGACATGCTGGCTAGTGGGGACCTGGGGACATGCTGGCTAGTGGGGACCTGGGGACATGCTGGCTAGTGGGGACCTGGGGACATGCTGGCTAGTGGGGACCTGGGGACATGCTGGCTAGTGGCAGAGCCTCATAACACTGATTATCAAAAGTAGAGCACTGCATAGGGAATAAGGTTCCATTTGGGATACACCCACTAGATATATCTTCACAACGTCCACACACCCCTCTGCCCGTGGCTGAGTGTCCCATTGATAAAGGATGAGGAGAGAAGGAAGGGGTTTCTTCCTGTTGTAGAGTATCACAAAGCTTTATATATAAACACAAACAAAAATGACATTTTCTATCCAATGCACTCAGTGCATTTTGAACATATTTAGCGGTAAAGTTCTCAAGGCTTGGTCGACCACACTGGGTAAAAAAGTAACACATCCGGAATAACCGCAGAAAAGCAAATTACCCGCAGAAAAAGCAAATTGCCGTAGAAATGCAAATTACACACACAAACAAAAACTACAAATAACGTTAGCTTCATATATCTCTACCAACGCTGCTGTAGGTTAGGGTTGACACCATTACACAGTATACTGATTCCCAGTAAACAAAATGCTGGCTTATTAAAAAGACAGAGAAAGCAGCTTGTTTGATCGACCTGTTAGGACTGAGTCAGTTGGCCAACCAGCAGCCAACTCCTAGCTTCCATAGAAAGGAAAATACATCTTGAAAATGTCAGGGGGCAATTTGCATCAACAGTGTCACCCGGGGTGAATACATGGTGTGTTTCAAAAGGTTTTCAGCAGACGATAACAGATGGGCAACAAAAAAGCATCTCCCTGGGTTCTCTTCTCCTCGTCGTGAAAGTCGTAACGTCTTTTTTTTTTTTTTCTGTTCTTAAAAATAAAAACACTACAAATTCATACAAAAGAGATGAAAAAAGCTGTCCTGGAAACACAGCCTGAAGAAGAGCCAAACAACTGGAGGGATTATTAGCTAGAAATCCATGAGTGAGGAACAGAAAAGGTCCTGTCAGCTGAATAGTACAGATCAGATTGTTGTTTCCCTTCCTAACAGGGACACTGTTATGTGGACATCACCGCAGGGTAAGGCTTGGTTGTCAGATGGGTTGACATGGTTCTGTTCTGTTCAGAATCTCTAGACTCTACTTAGCAGAGTGGATCTGTGGAGAGAGAGAAGAGAACATCTATTAGCAAGACGTCTAACAAGTACCGTGAGGGGAAAAAAGTATTTGATCCCCTGCTGATTTTGTACGTTTGCCCACTGACAAAGACATGATCGGTCTATAATTTTAATGGTAGGTTTATTTGAACAGTGAGAGACAGAATAACAACAAAAAAATCCAGAAAAACGCATGTCAAAAATGTTATAAATTGATTTGCATTTAATGAGGGAAATAAGTATTTGACCCCTCTGCAAAACATGACTTAGTACTTGGTGGAAAAACCCTTGTTGGCAATCACAGAGGTCAGACGTTTCTTGTAGTTGGCCACCAGGTTTGCACACATCTCAGGAGGGATTTTGTCCCACTCCTCTTTGCAGATCTTCTCCAAGTCATTAAGGTTTCGAGGCTGACGTTTGGCAACTCGAACCTTCAGCTCCCTCCACAGATTTTCTATGGGATTAAGGTCTGGAGACTGGCTAGGCCACTCCAGGACCTTAATGTGCTTCTTCTTGAGCCACTCCTTTGTTGCCTTGGCCGTGTGTTTTGGGTCATTGTCATGCTGGAATACCCATCCACGACCCATTTTCAATGCCCTGGCTGAGGGAAGGAGGTTCTCACCCAAGATTTGACGGTACATGGCCCCGTCCATCGTCCCTTTGATGCGGTGAAGTTGTCCTGTCCCCTTAGCAGAAAAACACCCCCAAAGCATAATGTTTCCACCTCCATGTTTGACGGTGGGGATGGTGTTCTTGGGGTCATAGGCAGCATTCCTCCTCCTCCAAACACGGCGAGTTGAGTTGATGCCAAAGAGCTCGATTTTGGTCTCATCTGACCACAACACTTTCACCCAGTTCTCCTCTGAATCATTCAGATGTTCATTGGCAAACTTCAGATGGGCATGTATATGTGCTTTCTTGAGCAGGGGGACCTTGCGGGATTGAAGGATTTCAGTCCTTCACGGCATAGTGTGTTACCAATTGTTTTCTTGGTGACTATGGTCCCAGCTGCCTTGCGATCATTGACAAGATCCTCCTGTGTAGTTCTGGGCTGATTCCTCACCGTTCTCATGATCATTGCAACTCCACGAGGTGAGATCTTGCATGGAGCCCCAGGCCGAGGGAGATTGACAGTTATTTTGTGTTTCTTCCATTTGCAAATAAATCGCACCAACTGTTGTCACCTTCTCACCAAGCTTCTTGGCGATGGTCTTGTAGCCCATTCCAGCCTTGTGTAGGTCTACAATCTTGTCCCTGACATCCTTGGAGAGCTCTTTGGTCTTGGCCATGGTGGAGAGTTTGGAATCTGATTGATTGATTGCTTCTGTGGACAGGTGTCTTTTATACAGGTAACAAGCTGAGATTAGGAGCACTCCCTTTAAGAGTGTGCTCCTAATCTCAGCTCATTACCTGTATAAAAGACACCTAGGAGCCAGAAATCTTTCTGATTGAGAGGGGGTCAAATACTTATTTCCCTCATTAAAATGCAAATCAATTTATAACATTTTTGACATGCGTTTTTCTGGATTTTGTTGTTGTTATTCTGTCTCTCACTGTTCAAATAAACCTACCATTAAAATTATAGACTGATCATTTCTTTGTCAGTGGGCAAACGTACAAAATCAGCAGGGGATCAAATACCCCCCCCCCCCCGCCCTCACTATATCTCTATGTATTACTGCTACAATAGTAGAAATCAATACAACACATTGCAATCCTCTTTACTCTGTTCTGTGTTTCTATTTAGAGAAGGGTTAATAACACCACCCCTCTTCCCTGTCCTGGGACAGTGATAAAGCACATTGCTGGGCTAGAAGCTCTTAGCCATAGTCAAGGCTTATCGGCAGCGGGGCTAGAGGCAAGTGTCTGTGTGTCTGTGTGTCTGTGTGTCTGTGTGTCTGTGTGTCTTTGTGTCTGAGTGCGTACCCTGGGCTAGAGGCACGCTGTGCTGACACGGCCAGTCTGGAGTAATGTGACAGGTTCTGGGAGAGAAACAGCACCGGCTATCAGGAAACGTGACAGCACCCACAGACAGACAAGTGGATTCACCCAGCCCCATCTCAACCCCCCCCACTGGGGTCAGGACCAGCCTAACCAGCCTCTCTCTGCAGAGGACATGGGTGGCTGGATGGTACACATTCAGGCCTGGGCTCAGTCAGATATACTGTAGTATATACAATAGAACAGGTGTTATGATGAGTTTCTAAGGGTATCAAGTGATAAAGAATGTAATGATGTACTTAGACACTTTGATAGGGAGTTCATATAAGGGCGGCAGGTGGCTTAGTGGTTAAGAGCGTTGTGCCAGTAACCGAAAGGTCGCTGGTTCTAATCCCCGAGCCGACTAGGTGAAAAATCTGTCGATGTGCCCTTGAGCAAGGCACTTAACCCTAATTGCTCCTGTAAGTCGCTCTGGATAAGAGCATCTGCTAAATGACTAAAATATAAGATATTTAATATGGTACCATGGTTCGATATGACAACAGACATAGCCCTGCCTCTTACCGTTCCGAACAAAGAGCCACTCTCCCTTATATACCCTCTGTTTACAAGTTTCTTCATGAACATCTGCTAACCCTCAATGGGCACTCCCTTCTTTGATGTTATTACCCTTTACCCCCAAGTCAGTATATCCTGTCCATCAATCATTTCTAAGATCAACTTCAGTAATCTCCTTTGACATAAGGAATGCAGACTCTGTGGCACCAAGCCACTTATCTTCCAACTCTCCCCTGGGTCACACAACACTATAAAAACCTCATATCAACAGTGGTTCCCAACCTTTTTCCCTTGGAGCCCCCCCCCTACTTGTATCTAAGAAAAGCTGAGCGCCCCCCCCCCAAGAAAAGCTGAGCGCCCCCCCCCCCCCCCCCCCCCAAGAAAAGCTTAGCCCCCCCCAAAAAAAAAAATATAATAATAAAGTGATTAATTCCAAATCTTTATTGGCAAAAATGTACATCACTTACAGTTTTTCTTTCCTTTTCTCTTCGGTTTGCCCTGGTTATCTTTGTGCATAATCAACTGTAGGCCTATACACACACACACACACACAGTTACCTAAATAATAATAATGATTCATTATCAGTGTAATAAGTGATTAACAGCACCTATACAGCTCTGTCCTAGATCTCCCTCAGACCAATACACTGAAACGGGTTTGTTACACACACACACACACACACACATCATGTGAACACTGGTTTTGACACAGCTATAAATTATGTGATATAAAAATAAAAATAAGCAACAATAACAAACAGTACGTTACAATCAATAACTTTATCCTTCCTTAAAAAACTAAAATGGCCACCTTGGGGCCTGCATACCTCTGACCAGGGATGGGATGTCAGGTGTGATGCTAGTGACAGCCAGCCTAAAGCCCTGGTGGACATGGAGCCTGTTACGGGCTTTTGTTTTTATTGAAGGCCGTCTCAGACAGGTACGTAGTGCTGAATGGTAGAATAACCCTTGTAGCTGCGTGTTTGGCCAGTCTGGGCGCAACAGCGCATGTCCTTTGACAATCCAAAACGTTTTGTATCCGTTCTCGTGGAAATATGTCTTTGACATAGAAATCGGCTTGAAGGTCAGCATGCTCATCTTCACAGCCGAGGTATTCCACATCCTCGAGACTGCAAATATAAAATGGTCCATCACCCACGATTCCTTTGATAAGTATTCGTCAACAATCGGCAAAACAGGATTTAATTTCCCCCCGAAGCATGTTCATGTGCCTGGTAAACTCAGTGCGTATCATTGCCACCAGACTGTTTCATCAGCAGTGGAAATTGTTGTAGCTCCCCTTTTGACATTTTTCCAACTCTGTACTCCAGTTTCCGCACAAAAGCATCTCAAGAGTGTTTGCACTGCATGACGTTTGATTCAGGACCCTGCATCTGCTAGTTTGTCTCATTGTAGAGAGTGAATGTATCTGCTAGGTATGCCGTTTTGATCCAAAACGCATCAGTCAGCTGTTCCCACAATGGTCGATTGTGATCTTGCAATGGTCGATTGTGATCTTGCACAAGCACTTGTCCACGTGACAACCAGCATACCTCTGTGTGTAACAGCAGTGTTTGATGCGCTTGTTCCGGGATTCTTCAGATAGCATTGAGGAGTACACCACATCAGTCACTGGCTTCATCAATAAGTGCATCGATGATGTCGTCCCCACAGTGACCGTACGTACATACCCCAACGAGAAGCCATGGATTACAGGAAACATTCGCACTGAGCTAAAGGGTAGAGCTGCCGCTTTCAAGGAGCGGGACTCTAACCAGGACGCGTATAAGAAATCCCGCTATGCCCTCCGACGAACCATCAAACAGGCAAAGCGTCAATACAGGACAAAGATTGAATCGTACTACACCGGCTCTGACGCTCGTCGGATGTGGCAGGGCTTGAAAACTATTACAGACTACAAAGGGAAGCACAGCCGTGAGCTGCCCAGTGACAAGACTTCCAGACGAGCTAAACCACTTCGATGCTCGCTTCGAGGCAAGCAACTCTGAAGCATGCATGAGAGCACCAGTTGTTCCGGATGACTATGTGATCACGCTCTCCGTAGCCAATGTGAGTACGACTTTTAAGCAGGTCAACATTCACAAGGCCGCAGGGCCAGACGGATTACCAGGACGTGTACTCCGAGCATGTGCTGACCAACTGGCAAGTGTCTTCACTGACATTTTCAACATGTCCCTGACTGAGTCTAATACCAACATGTTTCAAGCAGACCACCATAGTCCCCGTGCCCAAGGACACTAAGATAACCTGCCTAAATGACTACCGACCCGTAGCACTGACGTCTGTAACCATGAAGTGCTTTGAAAGGCTGGTCAAGGCTCACATCAACACCATTATCCCAGAAACCCTAGACCCACTCCAATTTGCATACCGTCCCAACAGATCCACAGATGATGCAATCTCTATTGCACTCCACACTGCCCTTTCCCACCTGGACAAGAGGAACACCTACGTGAGAATGCTATTCATTGACAACAGCTCAGCATTCAACACCATAGTGCCCTCAAAGCTCATCACTAAGCTAAGGATCCTGGGACTAAACACCTCCCTCTGCAACTGGATCCTGGACTTCCTGACGGGCCACCCCCAGGTGGTAAGGGTAGGTAACAACACATCTGCCACACTGATCCTCAACACGGTGGCCCCTTAGGGGTGCGTGCTCAGTCCCCTCCTGTACTCCCTGTTCACCCATGACTGCATGGCCAGGCACGACTCCAACACCATCATTAAGTTTGCCGACGACAACAGTGGTAGGCCTGATCACCGACAACGATGAGACAGCCTATAGGGAGGAGGTCAGAGACCTGGCCGTGTGGTGCCAGGATAACAACCTCTCCCTCAACGTGACCAAGACAAAGAAGATGATTGTGGACTACAGGAAAAAAAAAGAGGACTGAGTACGCCCCCATTCTCATCGACGGGGCTGTAGTGGAACAGGTTGAGAGCTTCAAGTTCCTTGGTGTCCACATCACCAACGAACTATCATGGTCCAAACACACCAAGACAGTCGTGAAGAGGGCACGACAAAGCGTATTCCCCCTCAGGAGACTGAAAAGATCTGGCATGGGTCCTCAGATACTCAAAAAATTATACAACTGCACCATCGAGAGCATCCTGACTGGTTGCATCACCGCCTGGTATGGCAACTGCTTGGCCTCTGACCGCAAGGCACTACAGAGGGTAGTGCGTACGGCCCAGTACATCACTGGGGCCAAGCTTCCTGCCATCCAGGACCTCTATACCAGGCGGTGTCAGAGGAAGGCCCTCAAAATTGTCAAAGACTCCAGCCACCCTAGTCATAGACTGTTCTCTCTGCTACCGCACGGCAAGCGGTACCGGAGTGCCAAGTCTAGGTCCAAAGGACTTCTCAACAGCTTCTACCCCCAAGCCATAAGACTCCTGAACAGCTAATCATGGCTACCCGGACTATTTGCACTGCCCCCCCACCCCATCTTTTTACGCTGCTGCTACTCTGTTAATTATTTATGCATATTCACTTTAACTCTACCCACATGTACATATTACCTCAACTAGCCGGTGCCCCCGCACATTGACCCTGCACCGGTACCCCCATATATATATATATATATATATATATATATATATATATATATATATATATATATATATATATATATATATATATAGCCTCCCTACAGTTATTTTATTTTACTTCTGCTATTTTTTTCCTCAACACTTTTTTGTTGTTTTATTTTACTTTTTTATTAAAGGTTAAGGGCTGTAAGTAAGCATTTCACTGTAATGTCTGCACCTGTTGTATTTGGCGCATGTGGCCAATAAAATGTGATTTGATTCATCCTCACACAGCAAACAGTCTCTTGTTAGTAGGGCGAGCCTTAATAAAAGTTTACAACTTTAACAACAGTTGCCAGGGTGTTACTAAGGTCTTCCGAAAGTTTTTTACTGGCCAATGCTTGGCTTGTAGCATGCAGTGGATAATTGCGCTTTTCCTTAAATCGGCTGTTAAATCCCTTGTTTTTACCCATCAACGCTGCAGCGCCATCAGTGCAGCATGCAACAATATTCTCCTAGGGCAGATTGTTGGACAAGAGCTATAAAAATATCTTGGCCTGTTGTTGTTGTGGCTAGATTGGTAGACATAAGAATGTCTGGTTTCAAGTAATCACCGTCAATATAAACGAAGCACGGATTCATCTGACACTGTTGTTGTTTCATCCAACTGAATGGCAAAGGGAACATTCCTAAGCTTCTCGTGCAGCTGGTTTTGACAATCTCCAGCCATTTTATCAATTCTGTCTTTGACAGTGTTGTCAGAGAGTGGGACGGTTCTCACTTTATCCACCACCTGCCTCTACAGTCGTGGTCAAACGTTTTGAAATTGACACAAATACTAATTTTCACAAAAGTCTGCTGCCTCAGTTTTGATGATGGCAATTTGCATATATACTCCAGAATGTCATGAAGAGTAATCAGATGAATTGCAATTCATTGCAAAGTCCCTCTTTGCCTTGAAAATGAACTTAGCCCCAAATAAACAATTCCACTGCATTTCAGCCCTGCCACAAAAGGACCAGCTGCCATCATGTCAGTGATTCTCTCGTTAACACAGGTGAGAGTGTTGACGAGGACAAGGCTGGAGATCACTGTCATGCTGATTGAGTCAGAATAACAGACTGGAAGCTTTAAAAGGAGGGTGGTGCTTGAAATCATTGTTCTTCCTCTGTTAACCATGGTTACCCGCAAAGAAACATGTGCAGTCATCATTGCTTTGCACAAAAAGGGCTTCACAGGCAAGGATATTGCTGCTAGTAAGATTGCACCTAAATCAACCATTTATCGGATCATCAAGAACTTCAAGGAGAGAGGTTAAATTGTTGTGAAGGCGTCAGTGCGCCCAAGAAAGTCCAGCAAGCGCCAGGACTGTCTCCTAAAGTTGATTCAGCTGCGGGATCGGGGCACCACCAATGCAGAGCTTGCTCAGGAATGGCAGCAGGCAGGTGTGAGTGCATCTACTTTTGGAGGATGGCCTGGTGTCAAAGAAGGGCAGCAAAGAAGCCACTTCTCTCCAGGAAAAACATCAGGGACAGACTGATATTCTGCAAAAGGAACAGGGATTGGACTGCTGAGGACTGGGGTAAAGTCATTTTCTCTGATGAATCCCCTTTCCGATTGTTTGGGGCATCCGGAAAACACTTTGTCCGGAGAAGACAAGGTGAGCGCTACCATCAGTCCTGTGTCATGCCAACATGGGGGGGGGGGTTGTTTTCACGTCATGGATGTCCGCAAACATGATTTTGTGAAAGTGGTGTAAAAAGAAAACGGTGGAAGTAATGAGTAGGAATGAACATTCCATCTACTGAACATTCCATCTACTGAACATTCCATCTACTGAACATTCCATCTACCGAACATTCCATCTACCGAACATTCCATCTACCGAACATTCCATCTACTGAACAACCATGTGGTTAGCTGAGAGAGACAAACCATGCCAATGTCAGCTGGCTGACTGAATGACTGGCTGGCTGGCTGAATGACTGGCTGAATGACTGGCTGGCTGACTGGCTAATTGGCTGGCTGGCTGGCTAACTGACTGACTGGCTGGCTGACTGAATGACTGGCTGGCTGAATGACTGGCTTGCTGACTGGCTAATTGGCTGTCTGGCTGGCTAACTGACTGACTGGCTGGCTGACTGAATGACTGGCTGGCTGAATGACTGGCTGACTGACTGGCTAATTGGCTGGCTGGCTGGCTAACTGACTGACTGACTGGCTGACTGACTGAATGACTGGCTGGCTGAATGACTGGCTTGCTGACTGAATGACTGGCTTGCTGACTGGCTAATTGGCTGTCTGGCTGGCTAACTAACTGACTGGCTGACTGACTGGCTGACTAGGTCTTAGTCAGCTCCCTGGGCTCTGAGGATAATATACAACCACACTGAACAAAGACAATGATTCTTCATCCATCATGTCTGAGGTACACACACATATTACACGCCCAGCGCCGTGTATGACGGCTTTGTGTGTTTGAGGGGGGAGAACACAGTGTGTGTCTGTGTTTGTTTATGGGAACACGGTGCGTGTGAGTTATTGACTAGTGGAAGGGTCAGCATGTACCTCCCTTTGGTTGACGAGGGGAGGAGGGGGGGGGGGGCGTGGGTGGGTGACAACTATGATGAATGAAGCTGACCCCCCCCCCAGGGAACACACACACACACACAGACACGCCACGGGGAAGGGGACGCACCTCAGAGACTTCCATCTGTCCTTCTCCATGTGGTTCTCAGGGCCTTCGCTCTCATAAGAGGCCAGATACAGAGCTGAGAGGAGAAGAAGAAACCACCAGCGTCAACTCATTACAGTCACAGCACCAGGACATTAAAACAGCTTTTCCTGTAGTTGAACAGGTTTTCTAAGCTGGGAATTTAGTGTAGCCTTCCAGAATTGACTTAGTTGGAAATGACACCATGACATCAGTACATTGAACCTTGAACTATATTTGGGGGGGGGGGTACGTACCGTCCTCGCTGAAGACCGGTGCAGTAAGCAGGTACTGTAGAATTTTGCGGTCCTTCTCAAACGGACACTCCACCTTCTTCCAAACCATGAACTCGCTGACCTGCTTCGCCATCTCCCAGAATTTCTGAAAAACAATGTTAAAAACAAATGTTAAAAATAACATTGAGATACTGTGAAAACGACGTAACGTTAGTGTTCGCGGGAACACAATTTCTGCAAACGTGAAAAAACAATATGAACGTTAATAAAGAAGTTATGTAACACTAACACAACCTGATAATAATATTCACTGATTGGCAGCTAGACGGTATATATACACACTACCGGTCAAAAGTTTGCATACACCTACTCATTCAAGGGGTTTTTCTTTATTTTTACTATTTTCTACATTGTAGAATAATAGTGAAGACATCAAAACTATGAATAAATAACACATATGGAATCATGTAGTAACCCCCAAAAATGTGTAAAACAAATCAAAATATATTTTAGATTCTTCAAAGTAGCCACCTTTTGCCTTGATGACAGCTTTGCACACTCTTGGCATTCTCTCAACCAGCTTCATGAGGTAGTCACCCGGAATGCATTTCAATTAACATGTGTGCCTTGTTAAAAGTTAATTTGTGGAATTTATTTCCTTCTTAATGCGTTTGAGCCAATCAGTTGTGTTGTGACAATGCAGGTGGGGCATACAGAAGACAGCCCTATTTGGTGAAAGACCAAGTCCAAATTACGGCAAGAACAGCTCAAATAAGCAAAGAGAAACGACAGTCCATCATTACTTTAGGACATGAAGGTCAGTCAATACGGAACATTTCAATAACTTTGAACGTTTCTTCAAGTGCAGTCGCAAAAACAATCAAGCGCTATGATGAAACTGGCTCTCATGAGGACCGCCACAGGAATGGAAGACCCAGAGTTACCTCTGCTGCAGAGGATAAGTTCATCAGAGTTACCAGCCTCAGAAATTGCAGCCCAAATAAATGCTTCACAGAGTTCAAGTAACAGACACATCTCAACATCAACTGTTCAGAGGAGACTGCATAAATCAGGCCTTCATGGTCGAATTGCTGCAAAGAAACCACTACTAAAGGACACCAATAATAAGAAGAGACTTGCTTGGGCCAAGAAACACGAGCAATGGACATTAGACCGATGGAAATGTGTCCTTTGGTCTGGAGTCCAAATTGGAGATTTTTGGTTCCAACCGCCGTGTCTTTGTGAGACGCAGAGTAGGTGAATGGATGATCTCCGCATGTGTATTTCCCACCGTAAAGCATGGAGGAGGAGGTGTTATGGTGTGGGGGTGCTTTGCTGGTGACACGGTCTGTGATTTATTTAGAATTCAAGTCACACTTAACAAGCATGGCTACCACAGCATTTTGCAGCGATACGCCATCCCATCTGGTTTGGGCTTAGTGGGGACTATCATTTGTTTTTCAACAGGACAATGACCCAACACACCTCCAGGCTGTGTAAGGGCTATTTGACCAAGAAGGAGAGTGATGGAGTGCTGCATCAGATGACCTGGCCTCCACAATCACCTGCCCTCAACCCAATTGAGATGGTTTGGGATGACTCGGACCACAGAGTGAAGGAAAAGCAGCCAACAAGTGCTCAGCATATGTGGGAACTCCTTCAAGACTGTTGGAAAAGCATTCCAGGTGAAGCTGGTTGAGAGAATGCCAAGAGTGTGCAAAGCTGTCATCAAGGAAAAGGGTGGCTATTTGAAGAATCTCAACTATAAAATATATTTTGATTTGTTTAACACTTTTTTGGTTACTATATGATTCCATATGTGTTATTTCATAGTTTTGATGTCTTCACTATTATTCTACAATATAGAAAATAGTAAAAAAATCAAGAAAAACCCTTGAATGAGTAGGTGTTCTAAAACTTTTGACCGGTAGTGTATGTTGGTGACCATATATGTTGTAGACATGTATGGGGGTCTCCAATAATAAAAAAGTAGTTTAAAGATTAATTCAATTTTTTCTGATGTAGTGTAGCTGGGGTTTACCAATGGCAAGTCTCACTTCCTCACTCTCTGTCAGTTATAGGGGGAAGCTCGCTAAAAATGGCCTTTTCCTTGTCTGTGTAGTCTAACTATGTTGATGTGTGAACTGTCTCCCTTAGCACTGGGACATTTCTAAAACTGGTGGAGCTGGGTTACATAACCTTGTTTTTATTTAACCCTTATTTTAATTTAAAATTGACTGACGACAACGTTGTAATTTACAGCAACGACCTGGGAAATAGTTACATGGGAGAGGAAGGGGGGGTGATGAATGAGCCAGCTGGAAGCTGGGGATTATTAGGTAGTATGAGGGCCAGATTGGGAATTTATCCAGGACACCAGGGGTTAACACCCCTACTCTTACGATAAGTGCCATGGGATCTTTAGTGAGAGTCAGGACACCCGTTTAACGTCCCATCTGAAAGATGGCACCCTACACAGGGCAATGTCCCCAATCACTGCCCTGGGGCAATGTCCCCAATCACTGCCCTGGGGCAATGTCCCCAATCACTGCCCTGGGGCAATGTCCCCAATCACTGCCCTGGGGCAATGTCCCCAATCACTGCCCTGGGGCAATGTCCCCAATCACTGCCCTGGGGCAATGTCCCCAATCACTGCCCTGGGGCAATGTCCCCAATCACTGCCCTGGGGCAATGTCCCCAATCACTGCCCTGGGGCATTAAGGGGAAAGAGTGCCTCCTACTGGCCCTCCAACACCACTTCCAGCAGCATCTGGTCTCCCATCCAGGGACCGACCAGGACCAACCTTGCGTAGCTTCAGAGGCATGCCAGCAGTGGGATGCAGGGTGGTGTGCAGCTGGTTACAGGGGTGCCCTACCAAATGGAGCTTGTTGGGCCAAAATGTAACCAAAATAGTGAGTTGTGAGTCAAAACCCCTCAAAAATATTGTTCAAAACAACAAAGTAATTCTGTTAGCATTAGGCGGGCCAAACCAAATGTTGTCATGGGCCAAGTTTGGCCTGCACGCCCCATACTGGGCACCCTGGGGAAATTCCACAAACAACAAACCGTTTGCCCAAACTCACCTCAAAGTTAACGTGTCCATTCTGCATCCTGTTGGAACATCCCTCATTCAGGAAGTAGATGTCTTTAATCAGTAGGCTGAAGAACGGGATAACAATCTGGAGAGAGAGGAGACAGAGAAAGAAGAGGTGAGGATTTCATTCAGCTGCCTGGCTACAGTAGGTAACAGTCTGCTGATGACGTTTCTTTGTTAAATCACCACAAAAACACCCGTCAAACTAATTCCCACTTCACCCAGAAAGAGAAGTCAGAAAATGCTGAGGTAGTTTTTCAGAACACAATCGCTTAAACAATTCAGAGCCATGTCGCCACAAAAATTTAGGGAGGGGGGAGGGAGCTGTGACGGAAGGAGCGGGGAGGGAGGGAAGGATGGAGTGTGGAGCGGGGACCGGGGAGGGAGGGAAGGAAGAGAGAGGGAGGGAGGGAATGGGATGTCCTGTATGGAAGTAATGAGAGACGGTGACAACAGACAGGTGCCCTAAACACACTGGTCTGGCAGTATAAGAAGACAAGGACAGGATAGTTCTAGAAACGTTGCCTGACTGAAGACAAGGACAGGATAGTTGTAGACACGTTGCCTGACTGAAGACAAGAAAATAAACTGAGCTTCAATTGCAACTGAATCAATTGAGTCCTGGTTTGTTTTTCTTTGTTAGGTGATTGGCTGTTGGCTTCAAGCACCCTTTGCTGTTTTAACAGAAGAGTTGAGCACATACCCTCACGTTAGAAGACACACAGCTTGACAACAACACAGAGGAAGTGGTGTACTCAGTGGGAGACAGAGGGCGTGTTCGGTAACATAGAACTATAATTACAAGAACAGACATTCCCCATTCAAGTCACTGTTCCATGATGGGTGGTCAATCTATTTCTATGGGAAAGATGCCCCACTGTCCTGTCTATGGTCTACTTTCTAATGTCCTGTCAACGGTCATTTCGTAAATCAACTGGGTCAGAGAATAGGATATCCGAAAATATAAAGGCAGCGTTTACACAGGCAGACCAATTCTGATCTTTTGACCTCTTATTAGCTCAATCTGATCGGATTCGCCGAAAGACCATTTTAGTGGCAAAAGATCAGAATTGAGCTGCCTGTGTAAACGCTCTTAACGTGCCATCCTGTTTTGAGTTACTGTATATCCCTGTCATTATTTAATAGGGTAGGTCAAAGGCAATAACAGATGGAACGTGATTATGTCTATACCGTATGTGCCGTCTGTCCAGGCGCCCGTTATCACAAAGCATCTCACAGAAGGAGTGCTGATCTGGGATCAGTTTAGCCTTTTAGATCATTATGAAACAGACAGGGGGACCTGATTTTAGATCATTATGAAACAGGCAGGGGGACCTGATTTTAGATCATTATGAAACAGACAGGGGGGGACCTGATTTTAGATCATTATGAAACAGACAGGGGGGGACCTGATTTTAGATCATTATGAAACAGACAGGGGGACCTGATTTTAGATCATTATGAAACAGAGAGGGGGGGACCTGATTTTAGATCATTATGAAACAGACAGGGGGACCTGATTTTAGATCATTATGAAACAGACAGGGGGACCTGATTTTAGATCATTATGAAACAGACAGGGGGACCTGATTTTAGATCATTATGAAACAGACAGGGGGGACCTGATTTTAGATCATTATGAAACAGGCAGGGGGACCTGATTTTAGATCATTATGAAACAGACAGGGGGGGACCTGATTTTAGATCATTATGAAACAGACAGGGGGGACCTGATTTTAGATCATTATGAAACAGGCAGGGGGACCTGATTTTAGATCATTATGAAACAGACAGGGGGGGACCTGATTTTAGATCATTATGAAACAGACAGGGGGGGGACCTGATTTTAGATCATTATGAAACAGACAGGGGGACCTGATTTTAGATCATTATGAAACAGAGAGGGGGACCTGATTTTAGATCATTATGAAACAGACAGGGGGACCTGATTTTAGATCATTATGAAACAGACAGGGGGACCTGATTTTAGATCATTATGAAACAGACAGGGGGACCTGATTTTAGATCATTATGAAACAGACAGGGGGGGACCTGATTTTAGATCATAATGAAACAGACAGGGGGGACCTGATTTTAGATCATTATGAAACAGACAGGGGGGACCTGATTTTAGATCATTATGAAACAGGCAGGGGGGGACCTGATTTTAGATCATTATGAAACAGACAGGGGGGGACCTGATTTTAGATCATTATGAAACAGACAGGGGGGACCTGATTTTAGATCATTATGAAACAGACAGGGGGGACCTGATTTTAGATCATCACTACTACTCTTTTGGAGTCCAGCTCTGTGAGGAAACAGTGTGACACTGAGCAGTAGCCAACAAACACGTGAGATGGTTTTATATCAAATGACATACTGCTCCCTGACTGGACCAGAATGTTCTTCTAGCAAACTGAACACAGTAAACAGCACAATATGTACACAATGATTTCAGTCTCCCTGCCGTCTCAGTGACACTGTGGCCCTAAACAAAACAGAACAGATCTGAGAGACAGAGCGACAAAGAGAGAGAGAGAGAGAGATATCTGGGAACATGTTGCATAGACTACGTTACCACTGGACTGTACGGCCCAGAAAGGCCCACAAATCGGCCGTGTGGTGTTGTGTGTGGAAATACACTTTTTGACCCATAAACAAAAACCCCTCTAGAAGAAGTCACAAGAGCATTCCAGTGTTCTGGGAAGCTGGAACATTCCGTCTTATGACCCCTTCTCCGTCTGTCTTAGCAGCCAACCAGGGCCCTTAAAAAAATCAACATCTACACACGTACAGTTCCCCCTCCTTTCCCTAACAGAAACCCTCAGCTAACCCATTATGTTGGCACTACGCTAACTCTTTGCTAACCTAATACATGTTGACAGTACATCAACAAACAACTTGTCTATGTTTACCCTTCCTTCTAGGACTTGCTACACACTAGGCTAGCCCGCTAGGCTGACCGGTTCACACTCAGTCAGGTCAGTGTGGGGTAGAGAGAGAAAGACGCAATCAGAGAGAGAGACAGACAGAAATGAGAGAGAGAGACAGAAATGAGAGAGAGAGACAGAAATGAGAGAGAGAGCGAGAGACAGAAATGAGAGAGAGAGAGAGACAGAAATGAGAGCGAGACAGAAATGAGAGCGAGACAGACAGAAATGAGAGAGAGAGAGAGAGAGAGAGAGAGGGAGACAGAAATGAGAGAGAGAGACAGACAGAAATGAGAGAGTTATGTGAACTGGCAGGCAGCAATTTATTTCCCCCCTTAACTGAAAAGGAGGAAATTAGTTCTCTTTGACATCCATACAAGACCCTCAGCTCTCAGCTGACCTATTTCTGTCTTGACCTCTTGACTTCTCTGCTTCAGAGGCTTCGTTATGTAACGATGTCCTAACCGAACCAAAGTTTAGTGTAAATAAAGATGAGTCCACTGAGCAGAGACGATAAACGATCATCAGACCAACTGCTGCACGGAAGGCTGCTTTCCCGACATGCCGGAACGTTCCCTCCAGTTGTTTTCCTGGTTACATAAAAGTGAAGAACGGGTGATGCACATCTCCACTTTACGTAACAACGAATTGCTGCTTAGCAATTGTGAGAGCGGTAGAGCGTTTGTTCGTTTTCTTGGTTAACATGCTGACCAAACCAGTTTCCCCTTTTTATCTGTGGATTAATTGTCGGAGTAGAGAACACATGATTTTGTATGACTCAAAAAAGGGAAAAAATACCACAAAAGATCCAGCTAAAAATGGACTATACACATTTCAGATAAAATAACAACCCAATGTTTATCTCCCAGCACAAATTAGCGTAGCAACAGCAAGCTAGCTAAATGTCCATGAATGTTTGTTTTGACCTGTCCCCTAAACTAATATATTTGGTTCACGATTGGTTTTTTGGTATTTTAACCTGCGTGTCATGAACATGTCTGGGTGGGGATCGACAAAAATCAACATGCGCACAGACAAACGCACGCACAAAGCCAGTTTGGTCAGCATGTAAGTGGGTTAGGGTTACTGAAATGGGCTCTGGGAGAATTCAGACTGCCAGAGAGAACAGAGGACGTTCCCACCATTCGAAGAGATCAGAATATACTAGATCACCTAGATCAGAATATACTAGATCACCTAGATCAGAATATACTAGATCACCTAGATCAGCTCTCCTACTCTTAAGACGCTTTTATGAAATAATCTCAGATTGTGAGTAAAGGTATCCAGGCTCACCTTCTCTCTAACGCTATTGGCTGTTCTGCACCTCTGTGTCGCTCCTCTCAACGCCGTTCTGTAATTGTAGAAGTTACCGGAAGGGTCCATTTGGTGCTGAGGGAGGGAGAGAGGGAGAGATTAGCATTACAGTGCAAGCTCAGCAGAAAGTCAGTTCTTAGTTCAAATATTTGTTTATAAAATGGCGGATTCTTCTAGCTACATCCTCAGAGAGTGAGATGGCATCGTATGCTTTCGTCTGAACGGATAACAAGTGCATTGACTGCAATACTATTAGCTAACTGTAATTCTAAACATATGGTAATAGCCACCCTGTAATAAAATATGGTGGTTAGTTAGTCACTGGCCCGGCTGTTCCCTTCAACCTCCCCCACCACTCCATCCCTTCCCCCAAAAGGTTGATCGCTTGTGGGAGAAGGCATCTCAATGACTCTATCAATCACTCACAGTCCCACATAAACCGTCCCTGCCAAATCAACTGGACACACACAAACTGCAAGACAGATGGAGTCATCAAACCAGCCTATCAACACTCTGACCTCTATCAACACAGGGAGGACAATAACCCAACACCACAGCTATCAACACTGACCTCTATCAACACAGGGAGGACAATCGCTCAAGTCAAATGTCTACTGTTTGCTGATGATCTGGTGCTTCTGTCACCAACCAAGGAGGGCTTACAGCAGCACCTAGATATTCTGCACAGATTCTGTCAGACCCGGGCCCATACAGTAAATCTCAGTAAGACAAAAATAATGGTGTTTCAAAAAAGATCCAGTTGCCAGGACCACAAATACAAATTCCATCTAGACACCGTTGCCCTAGAGCACATAAAAAAACGATACATACCTCGGCCTAAACATTAGCGCCACAGGTAACTTCCACAAAGCTGTGAACGTTCTGAGAGACAAGGCAAGAAGGGCCTTCTATGCCATCAAAAGGAACATAAAATTTGACATACCAATTAGGATCTCGCTAAAAATACTTGAATCAGTTATGGAACCCATTGCCCTTTATGGTTGAGGTCTGGGGTCTGCTCACCTACCAAGAATTCACAAAATGGGACAAACACCAAATTGAGACTCTGCATGCAGAATTCTGCAAAAATATCCTCTGTGTACAATGAAAAACACCAAATAATGCATGCAGAGCAGAATTACGCCAATACCCGCTAATTATCAAAATCCAGAAAAGAGCCGTTAAATTCTATAACCACTTAAAAGGAAGCGATTCCCAAACCTTCCATAACAAAGCCATCACCTACAAAGAAATTAACTTGGAGAAGAGTCCCCTAAGCAAGTTAGTCCCAGGACAACAACAACACAATTAGATCCAACCAAATCATGAGAAAACAAAAAAAAAATTACTTGACACATTGGAAAGAATTAACAAAAAAACAGAGCAAACTAGAATGCTATTTGGCTCTAAACAGAGAGTAGACAGTGGCAGAATACCTGAACACTGTGACTGACCCAAACCTAAGGAAAGCTTTGACTATGTACAGACTCAGTGAGAATAGCCTTGCTATTGAGAAGACCACCGTAGGCAGACCTGGCTCTCAAGAGAAGACAGGCTATGTGCACACTGCCCACAAAATGAGGTGGAAACTGAGCTGCACTTCCTAACCTCCTGCCAAATGTATGACCATATTAGAGACACATACAGTGGGGAGAACAAGTATTTGATACACTGCCGATTTTGCAGGTTTTCCTACTTAAAGCATGTAGAGGTCTGACATTTTTATCATAGGTACACTTCAACTGTGAGAGACGGAATCTAAAAAAAAAATCCAGAAAATCACATTGTATGATTTTTAAGTAATTCATTTGCATTTTATTGCATGACATAAGTATTTGATCACCTACCAACCAGTAAGAATTCCGGCTCTCACAGACCTGTTAGTTATTCTTTAAGAAGCCCTCCTGTTCTCCACTCATTACCTGTATTAACTGCACCTGTTTGAACTCGTTACCTGTATAAAAGACACCTGTCCACACAATCAAACAGACTCCAACCTCTCCACAATGGCCAAGACCAGAGAGCTGTGTAAGGACATCAGGGATACAATTGTAGACCTGCACAAGGCTGGGATGGGCTACAGGACAATAGGCAAGCAGCTTGGTGAGAAGGCAACAACTGTTGGCACAATTATTAGAAAATGGAAGAAGTTCAAGATGACGGTCAATCACCCTCGGTCTGGGGCTCCATGCAAGATCTCACCTCGTGGGTGCATCAATGATCATGAGGAAGGTGAGGGATCAGCCCAGAACTACACGGCAGGACCTTGTCAATGACCTGAAGAGAGCTGGGACCACAGTCTCAAAGAAAACCATTAGTAACACACTACGCCGTCATGGATTAAAATCCTGCAGCGCACGCAAGGTCCCCCTGCTCAAGCCAGCGCATGTCCAGGCCCATCTGAAGTTTGCCAATGACCATCTGGATGATCCAGATGAGGAATGGGAGAAGGTCATGTGGTCTGATGAGACAAAAATAGAGCTTTTTGGTCTAAACTCCACTCGCCGTGTTTGGAGGAAGAAGAAGGATGAGTACAACCCCAAGAACACCATCCCAACCGTGAAGCATGGAGGTGGAAACATCATTCTTTGGGGATGCTTTTCTGCAAAGGGGACAGGACGACTGCACCGTATTGAGGGGAGGATGGATGGGGCCATGTATCGCGAGATCTTGGCCAACAACCTCCTTCCCTCAGTAAGTGCATTGAAGATGGGTCGTGGCTAGGTCTTCCAGCATGACAACGACCCGAAACACACAGCCAGGGCAACAAAGGAGTGGCTCCGTAAGAAGCAGCTCAAGGTCCTGGAGTGGCCTAGCCAGTCTCCAGACCTGAACCCAATAGAAAATCTTTGGAGGGAGCTGAAAGTCCGTATTGGCCAGCGACAGCCCCGAAACCTGAAGGATCTGGAGAAGGTCTGTATGGAGGAGTGGGCCAAAATCCCTGCTGCAGTGTGTGCAAACTTGGTCAAGACCTACAGGAAACGTATGATCTCTGTAATTGCAAACAAAGGTTTCTGTACCAAATATTAAGTTCTGCTTTTCTGATGTATCAAATACCTATGTCATGCAATAAAATGCAAATTAATTACTTAAAAATCATACAATGTGATTTTCGTTTTAGATTCCGTCTCTCACAGTTGAAGTGTACCTATGATAAAAATTACAGACCATTACATGCTTTGTAAGTAGGAAAACCTGCAAAATCAGCAGTGTATGAAATACTTGTTCTCCCCACTGGGGGGGGGAAGGGAGAGAGAGAGCGAGAGAGAGCGAGAGAGCGAGAGAGCGAGAGAGCGAGAGAGCGAGAGAGAGAGCCCACAAAATCATGTGGTAACTGAGCTGCACTTCCTACCTGGGTCAGTATGACCATATTAGAGACACATATTTCCCTCAGATTACAGAGATCCACAAAGAATTCGAAAATAAACCCAATTTTGATAAACTCCCTTATCTACTGGGTGAAATACCACAGTGTGCCATCACAGCAGCAAGATTTGTGACCTGTTGCCACAAGAAAAGGGCAACCAGTGAAGAACAAACACCATTGTAAATACAACCCATATTTATGTTTATTTATTTTCCCTTTTGTACTTTAACTATTTGCACATCATTACAACACTGTATATAGACATAATATGACATCTGAAATGTCTTTATTCTTTTGGAACTTCTGAGTGTAATGTTTACTGTTAATATTTATTGTTTATTTCACTAAGGTTTACTATCTACAGTGGGGAGAACAAGTATTTGATACACTGCCTATTTTGCAGGTTTTCCTACTTACAAAGCATGTAGAGGTCTGTAATTTTTATCATAGGTACACTTCAACTGTGATAGACGGAATCTAAAACAAAAATCCAGAAAATCACATTGTATGATTTTTAAGTTATTAATTTGCATTTTATTGCATGACATAAGTATTTGATCACCTACCAACCAGTAAGAATTCTGGCTCTCACAGACCTGTTAGTTTTTCTTTAAGAAGCCCTCCTGTTCTCCACTCATTACCTGTATTAACTGCACCTGTTTGAACTCGTTACCTGTATAAAAGACACCTGTCCACACACTCAATCAAACAGACTCCAACCTCTCCACAATGGCCAAGACCAGAGAGCTGTGTAAGGACATCAGGGATAAAATGGTAGACCTGCACAAGGCTGGGATGGGCTACAGGACAATAGGCAAGCAGCTTGGTGAGAAGGCAACAACTGTTGGCGCAATTATTGGAAAATGGAAGAAGTTCAAGATGACGGTCAATCATCCTCGGTCTGGGGCTCCATGCAAGATCTCACCTTGTGGGGCATCAATGATCATGAGGAAGGTGTGGGATCAGCCCAGAACTACACGGCAGGACCTGGTCAATGACCTGAAGAGAGCTGGGACCACAGTCTCAAAGAAAACCATTAGTAACACACTACACCGTCATGGATTAAAATCCTGCAGCGCACGCAAGGTCCCCCTGCTCAAGCCAGCGCATGTCCAGGCCCGTCTGAAGTTTGCCAATGACCATCTGGATGATCCAGAGGAGGAATGGGAGAAGGTCATGTGGTCTGATGAGACAAAAATATAGCTTTTTGGTCTAAACTCCACTCGCCGTGTTTGGAGGAAGAAGAAGGATGAGTACAACCCCAATAACATCATCCCAACCGTGAAGCATGGAGGTGGAAACATCATTCTTTGGGGATGCTTTTCTGCAAAGGGGACAGGACGACTGCACCGTATTGAGGGGAGGATGGATGGGGCCATGTATCGTGAGATCTTGGCCAACAACCTCCTTCCCTCAGTAAGAGCATTGAAGATGGGTTGTGGCTGGGTCTTCCAGCATGACAACAACCCGAAACACACAGCCAGGGCAACTAAGGAGTGGCTCCGTAAGAAGCATCTCAAGGTCCTGGAGTGGCCTAGCCAGTCTCCAGACCTGAACCCAATAGAAAATCTTTGGAGGGAGCTGAAAGTCTGTATTGCCCAGCGACAGCCCCGAAACCTGAAGGATCTGGAAAAGGTCTGTATGGAGGAGTGGGCCAAAATCCCTGCTGCAGTGTGTGCAAACCTGGTCAAGACCTACAGGAAACGTATGATCTCTGTAATTGCAAACAAAGGTTCTGTACCAAATATTAAGTTCTGCTTTTCTGATGTATCGAATACTTATGTCATGCAATAAAATGCAAATTATTTACTTAAAAATCATACAATGTGATTTTCTGGATTTTTGTTTTAGATTCCGTCTATCACAGTTGAAGTGTACCTATGATAAAAATTACAGACCTCTACATGCTTTGTAAGTAGGAAAACCAGCAAAATCGGCAGTGTATCAAATACTTGTTCTCCCCACTGTACTTCACTTGCCCTGGCAATGTTAACACACGTTTCCCATGCCAATAAAGCCCTTAAATTGAATTGAAATTGAATTTGAAAGACAGAGACAGAGAGAAAGCTTTGGCAATATGTACATTGTTACGTCAGAGAGAGCTCGGGATGGAGAGTAATGAGGGAGGTGTGGAAAGAGAGGAGGAGTGGGAGAGAGAAACCTGCTCCTTTGATGGCTCCTGGGTTACAACCTGGTTTATCCATTTAATCTGCTACTTCACATCTCCTGACTTGAAGGTCCATACCTGGTTCCTCCTAGGACCCCCAGGGAGCTCGGTGTGATCTGAACCCCAGGTAGAGCTCACCGTCTGGGGCTACCCATCCCCTAGGAACCCCAGGGAGCTCGGTGTGATCTGAACCCCAGGTAGAGCTCACCGTCTGGGGCTACCCATCCGCTAGGACCCCCAGGGAGCTCGGTGTGATCTGAACCCCAGGTAGAGCTCACCGTCTGGGGCTACCCATCCGCTAGGACCCCCAGGGAGCTCGGTGTGATCTGAACCCCAGGTAGAGCTCACCGTCTGGGGCTACCCATCCCCTAGGAACCCCTTCTCCCTCCTCCTTCTTGGAGCTAACACTTCAGAAGGTAGAGTATCACTGTGATAATACCACGAGGCTTACAGGATAACATGGGAAGGTTAGCTATGCACTAGCTGGCTTTTGTAGCTAGATTGTATGGTGCTCAGTGCAGCAGGTGAACACGCAATTGTGTGTGTGTGTCTTTACCTCCAAGACGTCAAACTTGGCAGTCTTGACTTTGCTCCAGGTCTTCTTCAGTCGAGACACAGGACTCATGTTCATGCCAGCTGCAGAACAAGACAAGAGAGAAGGGTGAGGAATTAGTTCGTTCTCTCTCACTCACTCACTCACTCATTCACTCACTCACTATGGTAAGCAGGTGTGTGTGCATGCATATGTATTCAGGAGTGCTATTTTGTGTGTGCCTATTTTCCCAGGGTCTTGTTTGTCTTTCCTTTCTAACCTTACAATATCTCCCTCTGGGTCCCTGGAGACTGAGGGGCTCTGCCTGTGGCTCCATCTCCAGGGAGAGAGGGGCTTGGGCTGGGACAGCTGGTACTCCTAGGGCCTACCCTCCCTCCCTCCCTCCACCCAGCCCTCCCTCCCCTTTTGCCTTCCCTCTCCTGCCAATACCCCTCTTCCTCCCTCCCTCCCTCTATTTCCCTCTCTGGTCAGTACTGACCATCTGTCTATATGGGTGTTTGTGTAGGACTTCCCAGCTGTCCCTCCTCTCCCGTCCACCCCCTCCTCCCCAACCTCAAGGCCTGACCAGCTGCCTTCTTCCCTGGCCACTCAGGCCCCCCTGTACCACATCGGCTGGCTCTGGCCGCCTAAAGCCTGGGGCAAGGACTGGCCCCGAAACTAACCCAGACTGCTTTGTGGCTAGACCCTTGGGAAGGTCACAAGCTGGAGCCTAAGATAGATCAGGATGCATTAGATCCACTCTGCTCAAGATTATCAATTGAAGCTGAAAGTTACCCTTTCTATTCAGGTCAAGGACAACTTCTATGGACAAATGGGTCACTTTTATAAGAATCCCCCCCCCCCCCCAAAAAAAAAAAAGTAAATAAGCAATATTTGAAAGACTATTTAAAGTGAATAAATTGCTGTGATGTCGTTTCGGGTTAAGGCTGTTATAGGGTTTAGGAAGGTACAAAGTCTCGCTGAAATACAATTTGCATTTACTGATCGGATTTCCTGACTGTCGACAAAAAGCCTTGTGTGTTTACAGCATGTGAGCCGGTGAGTGAGTTGTCACAGGGTTGGGATGAAAAACCACAACACTTACAGATAATGGCCATGAGGGAGTTGAAGTTGCCGATGTTGAAACATTCCCGCGCCACGTCGATGAAGAACTCCATGACTCGCGCTCGCTGCTTCTTCTTTACGGGCTGTCGAGTCAACAACATCAACAACATCAACAAGTCAACAGCGACAACATCAACAAGACAACAAGATCAACAACATCAACAAAACAACATCAACAAGACAACAGCGACAACATCAACAAGTCAACAGCGACAACATCAACAAGTCAACAGCGACAACATCAACAAGTCAACAGCGACAACAAGACAACAAGTTAACAACAGCAAAAGCGCAAAATAAACCTTCAGGGCAAAAATACATGATGACGGTCAAGTAATTACTAGCTAGCTAAGTTATCTTAACTGCAGTAGAATACTCACTAGCTAAATTAGCTTTGCCGTAAAATGCTAACTAACTACCTAACTAAAGTAGGTAACAGGTGCGCAGTCTTGCTTTGTCAGCTGGGTGCTCTGCCATGTGACAATGACTTCAAATGAAATCCCATGGGGAAAAGGCGGCACTCCGAAATGTTAAGAAAAAAAGGACAAAAAGACGTCACCTCATTACACCTTTTTATTTTCGGCCGGGCAGGTTAACATGTTTCGGCAGTTATGCCTTCATCTGAGGAAGTGAAATGAGGCGATCTATTTTTGTCATTTTTTCTTAACGTTTTGGAGTGCTGCCATTTCCCATTAACTACTCACCACGCAGATCTACCTAACTACTCACCACGCAGATCAACCTAACTACTCACCACGCAGATCAACCTAACTACTCACCACGCAGATCTACCTAACTACTCACCATGCAGATCTACCTAACTACTCACCACGCAGATCAACCTAACTACTCACCACGCAGATCAACCTAACTACTCACCACGCAGATCAACCTAACTACTCACCACGCAGATCAACCTAACTACTCACCACGCAGATCACCTAACTACTCACCACGCAGATCAACCTAACTACTCACCACGCAGATCAACCTAACTACTCACCACGCAGATCAACCTAACTACTCACCATGCAGATCAACCTAACTACTCACCATGCAGATCAACCTAACTACTCACCACGCAGATCAACCTAACTACTCACCACGCAGATGAACCTAACTACTCACCACGCAGATCAACCTAACTACTCACCACGCAGATCAACCTAACTACTCACCACGCAGATCAACCTAACTACTCACCACGCAGATCAACCTAACTACTCACCACGCAGATCAACCTAACTACTCACCATGCAGATCAACCTAACTACTCACCATGCAGATCAACCTAACTACTCACCACGCAGATCAACCTAACTACTCACCACGCAGATCAACCTAACTACTCACCACGCAGATCAACCTAACTACTCACCATGCAGATCAACCTAACTACTCACCACGCAGATCAACCTAACTACTCACCACGCAGATCAACCTAACTACTCACCACGCAGATCAACCTAACTACTCACCACGCAGATCAACCTAACTACTCACCACGCAGATCAACCTAACTACTCACCACGCAGATCAACCTAACTACTCACCACGCAGATCAACCTAACTACTCACCACGCAGATCAACCTAACTACTCACCACGCAGATCAACCTAACTACTCACCATGCAGATCAACCTAACTACTCACCATGCAGATCTCTGTGGCCACCAGGAAGCTGAGTCTGTTGAACCACTCTACATACGCCTCCAGGCTGCTAGCCTTCTTATGGTCGCTGAAACAGCTCTGTAGCAATAAAGACAGACATTTCATTAGCATCGTATAGATAACATAACATTTAGTTAGCACCAATAGCATAGCATTTCATTACCATTACTTAGCTCATTGCTAAATTGGGTATTTTGTCAATAACAAAATGAGTAAAACAGTTTGACAAACTGCCGTTTTATTTCAAACACGAACCCTGGATCCCCAGATGGGTGTATAGGCTTTATAGTTGTCTTTGCAATTAGACTATTATTGCAGACTTGGCACTATGCTCCGAATCACACCATCAGGACATTAGCTAACTAGCTATTCACATTATTCAGCAGAGCTGAATAATTCTAATAGCTCACATTCCTTTAGCCTTACGCATTTCTCGCTCTCCCCCACACAATGGCCAGAGTGGTCAACACACACACAGACCCCCACACAGACCCCCAACCCTTTGGAAGTGGATGTAGAGAGGTAGCCCAAGGCACAAAAGAAAGGGCGCCAAAATATCCCCCCCGAAACATCCCTGTTGCCTAGCAGCCGAACGCTTGCGAGCACGCACACACACATCCAAAACAAACCCTCGGTGGTGGTTCTTTATTGGCCGAGTGGTTGCATGGCGATACAGCCAAAGCATTCTATAGCCCTTTCAGACAGAGGGATGTTTAAAGGAACAGGAAGAAAGCAAATGTTTGGTCTACCACTACGGTATGTCTGGGTACACGGTCTACCCTACCTGACACAAAATGGTGTCCTCACATTGACCCACCATGGGGTCAGTTTCAGTAGAGTCCATAATGAGTGACTGTCTGGAACGGAAACTGGTGGGTCTAGACTCTAGATAGAGCCAAATCACTGCTCTTCTGATTTAAGCAATGTAGGTCATGGTGGTGATAGCCAACTGTATGGTATAACTACTTGGAGCTAGACATTAGTACTAGTGGAGATGGATGGAGCCAAATCTACTAACTTTCAGATTTTAGCAATATAAGGCAGGGTTCTATATTCTGTATCATAACATCACAGGGTTCTAGCTGTATCATAACATCACAGGGTTCTAAAGCTGTATCATAACATCACAGGGTTCTAAAGCTGTATCATAACATCACAGGGTTCTAGCTGTATCATAACATCGCAGGGTTATAAAGCTGTATCATAACATCACAGGGTTCTAAAGCTGTATCATAACATCACAGGGTTCTAAAGCTGTATCATAACATCACAGGGTTCTAAAGCTGTATCATAACATCACAGGGTTCTTTAGCTGTATCGTAACATCACAGGGTTCTAAAGCTGTATCATAACATCACAGGGTTCTAAAGCTGTATCATAACATCACAGGGTTCTAAAGCTGTATCATAACATCACAGGGTTCTAAAGCTGTATCATAACATCACAGGGTTCTAAAGCTGTATCATAACATAACATGGTTCTAAAGCTGTATCATAACATCACAGGGTTCTAAAGCTGTATCATAACATCACAGGGTTCTAAAGCTGTATCATAACATCACAGGGTTCTTTAGCTGTATCGTAACATCACAGGGTTCTAAAGCTGTATCATAACATCACAGGGTTCTAAAGCTGTATCATAACATCACAGGGTTCTAAAGCTGTATCATAACATCACAGGGTTCTAAAGCTGTATCATAACATCACAGGGTTCTAAAGCTGTATCATAACATCACAGGGTTCTTTAGCTGTATCGTAACATCACAGGGTTCTAGCCAACTGTAGCCTGTTGCATTGTGGGTAAGCATGCAGACTCATTACCTTATCATTGTCCAGAAGATCTTTCTTCTCAAAGGCCTGGATGAATTCCTCTGGTTCGATGTAGCTCAGTCTCTCCTGAGAAAAGGAAAATCAACTCGATAAACTCCATCTGTCTGTGAATGCGTTCAGTCAGGTTGACGACGTCAATAAAATGTTTTAACAAATGTTTTACATTCACCTTGTAACTTATTGAGCTGTTATGATGCGGGCTACAGCAGAGAAACACCACTGTTTTAATGTATGGACATCGATAAACTGAAGGGGATGATAAGTGGCAATATGAACAGTATCTCTCACCAGTTCTAGTGTACACTAGTTCTAAGTGAGTGAGTTGCTGTGCCACAGTGTAGGGGTTAATGCGTATGCCTGTGTGTGTGTGTGTGTGTGTGTGTGTCTCACCAGTTCTACACTATTTTTACAAAAGTATGTGGACACCCCTTCAAATGAGTGGATTCGCCTATTTCAGCCACACCCATTGCTGACAGTTGTATAAAATCGAGCACACAGCCATGCAATCTCCACAGACAAACATTGACAGTAGAATGGCCCGTACTGAAGAGCTCAGTGACTTTCAACGTGGCACCGTCATAGGATGCCACCTTTCCAACAAGTCAGTTCGTCAAATTTCTGCCCTGCTAGAGATGCCCCGGTCAACTGTAAGTGCCGTTATTGTGAAGTGCAAACATTTCGGAGCAACAACGGCTCAGCCGCGAAGTGGTAGGCCACAAAAGCACTTAGAATGAGCCCACCGAGTGCTGAAGCGCATAAAAACCACCTGTCCTTGGTTGCAACACTCACTACCGAGTTCCAAACTGCCTCTGGAAGTAACGTCAGCACAATAACTGTTAGTCGGGAGCTTCATGAAATGGGTTTCCATAGCCGAGCAACCGCACACAAGCCTAAGAACACCATGCGCAATGCCAAGCATCGGCTGGAGTGGTGTAAAGCTCGCCACCATTGGACTCCGGAGCAGTGTAAACATGTTCTCTGGAGTGACGAATCACGCTTCACCATCTGGCAGACTGACGGACAAATCTGGGTTTGGCGGACATCAGGAGAACGCTACCTGCCCCAATGCATAGTGCCAACTGTAAAGTTTGGTGGAGGAGGAATAATGGTCTAGGGCTGTTTTTCATGGTTCGGGCTAGGCCCCTTAGTTCCAGTGAAGGGAAATCTTAATGACATTCTAGAGGATTCTGTGCTTCCAACTTTGTGGCAACAGTTTGGGGAAGGCCCTTTCCTGTTTCAGCATGACAATGCCCCTATGCATAAAGCGAGGTCCATACAGAAATGGTTTGTCGAGATCGGTGTGGAAGAACTTGACTTGCCTGCACAGAGCCCTGACCTCAACCCCATCTAACGCCTTTGGGATGAATTGGAACGCTGACTGCGAGCCAGGCCTAATCGCCCAACATCAGTGCCCGACCTCACTGATGCTCTTGTGGCTGAATGGAAGCAGGTCCCCGCAGCAATGTTCCAACATCTAGTGGAAAGCCTTCCCAGAAGAGTGGAGGCTGTTATAGCAGCAAAGGGGGGGACCAACTCCATATTAATGCCCATGATTTTGGAATGAGATGTTAGACGAGCGGGTGTCCACATACCTTTGGTCATGTAGTGTATGTGAGTGAGTTGCTGTGTGGCTGTCTGTCTGTCTGTCTCTCACCAGTTCTATGTGAGTGAGTTGCTGGGCCATGGTGAAGGGGTCGTTGCAGATGGACAGCATGTCCCTCTGGATGGCCTGAGGCTTGGCCTTGAGCACGGTCAGCCTGTCTGTGGCCGTAGCGTTGATCTTGACCAGGGCCTCCTCGTAATGGCTCAGAGAAGTCAGCTTCCTGATTAACACCTGAATCATCTGGTGGACCATCTTCCTGTACAGCTGGATGGAGGGAGAGAGAGGAAGAGGGATGGAGGGAGAGAGAGGAAGAGGGATGGAGGGAGAGGAAGAGGGATGGAGGGAGAGAGAGGAGGAGGGATGGAGGGCTAGATAGGAGGATGATGGAGGGAGAGGATAGAGAGGAGGAGAGTATGATTTCTCTTAATCTTCTTTCTCTCTCTATGAGCTGATTATGGCTGCTCTTCTTTTATTTCTCTTCTCCTCTTCTTGATTGCTCTTCTTTCCCTCTCCTTTTCGTCGCTTTACTCTTACTTCCTTCTTCGTTCTTTCTTCTCTCCTTCTCTTTCTGTCTTCTCTCTCTTCCTCTTTCTTCTTTCCTTTCTCCTTCTCTGTTCCTTTCTTTCTCTTCCTTCTGGCTTCTGTGTCTCTCTTCTCTTTCTTTCTTCTCTCGTTCTCTGTCTTTCTTTCTCTGCTCTTCTCTTTTGTCTTTCCACTTCTTTCTTTCTTTCTTCTCCTGTCTGCGAATTTCTTCTGGCTTCCCTTTCATCGCCCTCTTCTGTTGCTTTCCTCCCTCATCTTCTATCTTTCGCTGCCTCTTCGGCTCTTCTTTCTCTCTCTACGCCTCTTTCTGTCTGCTCTCTCTTCCTCTTTCTTCTTTCTCTCTCTTCCCTTTCTTTCTTTCTCTACTTCCTCTTCTTTCTTTCATCTCGTCTGTCCCGTGAGGTTTGTCAGCGTTCCCTGTTCTTTCTTTCTCTCTTGCCTCTTTCTTTCTGCTGCTGTTCGCGTCTTTCTTTCTCTGCTCTTCTGCTCTGTTTGTTCTGTCTCTCTCTTCCTCTTTCGTTTCTTGGCCTTCGTTCCTGTGTCTTTTCTCTCTCTGCCTGGGCTTTCTTGTTCTCTTGCGTCGTCTTTCTGCTCTCGCTCTTCCGCTTCTGTTTTCTGTGCTTTCTGCTCAGCTTGTCTTTTCTCTCTTCCTCTTTCTTCTGGTCTGCTTCCTTGTTTTCTTCTCTCTTTCCCGATTGTTTTCTCATCTCTTGCCTCTTCTCTTTCTCTCTTCCTCTTTCTTTCTCTCTCTCGCTTCTTGTCTTTCTCTCTCGTCCGTTCTGGTTCTTTCTGCTCTTCTCCTCTTCTTTCTTTCTCTCTGCTCTTCTCTTCTTTCTCCTCCTTCCTGGCTTTCTTTCGCTTTCTTTCGGCTCTTCCTCTTTTTTCTCGCTCTCTTCCTCTTTCTTTCTCGCCTTCTCTTTCTGTTTCTTTCTCTCTTTTTTTCGTTGGGCGTCAGTTCTTGAGTTTTTGTTACCAGCTGTTCTGCATTACTCTACTACTTTATAAGGAGGATAGAAGGGAGGAGTCGTGTGGAGAGCGAACTCCCGGTCATGGCCCCTGGTATGAGGTTAAAGAAAAGAGAAGGGGGCCTCTTCTTCGCTTTCTGTGACCACATCCCGTCTTCCTCCACATCCCGTCTCCCTCCACCTCCTGTCTGCCAATTCAAGCCAAGGGAAACTAGGTTCTACAAAAAAAGTTCAGGCCTGCGCGGGAAAGCAGCAGTTTGCTCAACAAACTTTCCTTCATACTGTATGTTTGATGTGTGTTAGTGTCCACCAATCAGATTTCTCTCTCACACCACTCACCTTGGCAACTCAAGCCAATCACCACTTAAACTGGATATATTACAGCCTTAACAAGCAGCCAATGGTAGGGGGAAGAGAGAGAGATAGAGAGCTTAGAAAGAGACGGGCTGCAGGGAGAGGGAGTGGCGCTCGGAGCTGGCGAGAGAGAGAGAGACTAATCTAGATTATAGAGAATAATCTTCAATCCCACTGTAATCCCACTTTTGTGTGTGGTGGAGATTAAATGCTCTCCGCCACGGGGATTAACCCCAGATGACAACTTTAACTCCCTCCAGGTCATTACTACTGCATTACATCACTCACTACTACTCTCTACAGTAACCTAGTAGTACTACTCTCTACAGTAACCTAGTAGTACTACTCTCTACAGTAACCTAGTAGTACTACTCTCTACAGTAACCTAGTAGTACTACTCTCTACAGTAACCTAGTAGTACTACTCTCTACAGTAACCTAGTAGTACTACTCTCTACAGTAACCTAGTAGTACTACTCTCTACAGTAACCTAGTAGTACTACTCTCTACAGTAACCTAGTAGTACTACTCTCTACAGTATACCTAGTAGTACTACCTCTACAGTAACCTAGTAGTACTACTCTCTACAGTACTACCTACAGTACCTAGTATACTACTCTCTACAGTATACCTAGTAGTACTACTCTCTACAGTAATCTAGTAGTACTACTCTCTACAGTAATCTAGTAGTACTACTCTCTACAGTAACCTAGTAGTACTACTCTCTAGTTACCTAGTAGTACTACTCTCTACAGTAATCTAGTAGTACTACTCTCTACAGTAACCTAGTAGTACTACTCTCTACAGTAACCTAGTAGTACTACTCTCTACAGTAACCTAGTAGTACTACTCTTTACAGTAACCTAGTAGTACTACTCTCTACAGTAACGTAGTAGTACTACTCTCTACAGTAACCTAGTAGTACTACTCTCTACAGTAACCTAGTAGTAACTACTCTCTACAGTAACCTAGTAGTACTACTCTCTACAGTAACCTAGTAGTACTACTCTTTACAGTAACCTAGTAGTACTACTCTCTACAGTAACGTAGTAGTACTACTCTCTACAGTAACCTAGTAGTACTACTCTCTACAGTATACCTAGTAGTACTACTCTCTACAGTATACCTAGTAGTACTACTCTCTACAGTAACCTAGTAGTACACTAGTAATCTAATAATAATTTGACATTTAGTAGAACTCTGACCTCAGCACTGGGGCATTAAGTACAATTGTAAGTACACTTGGATGACTTCAATGTTATACAGCACATGTTATATCAAATCAAATTGTATTTGTCACATGCACAGAATACAATAGGTGTAGACCTTACAGTGAAATGCTTACTTACAAGCCCTTAACCAACAATACAGTTTTAAGACAAATAAGTGTTAAGTAAACAATAGATAAGTAAAAAATAAAAGCAGTAAAATAACAGTAAAAATAACAGTAGCGAGGCTATATACAGGGTCAATGTGCGGGGGCACCGGTTAGTCGAGGTAATTGAGGTAATACGTACAATTGAAATGCATTCCAGGTGACTACCTCATGAAGCTGGTTGAGAGAATGCCAAGAGTGTGCAAAGCTGTTATCAAGGGCAAAGGGTGGCTATTTGAAGAATCTCAAATGTAAAATATATTTTGATTTGTTTAACACTTTTTTGGTTACTACATGATTCCATATGTGTTATTTCATAGTTTTGATGTCTTCACTATTATTCTACAATGTAGAAAATAGTTAAAAAAATAAAGAAAAATCCTTGAATGAGTAGGTGTGTCCAAACTTTTGACTGGTAGTGTATATGTAGGTATAGTTAAAGTCACAGCAGCGTAAAAGAGGGGGTGGGTGGGGGGGGACAATGCTAATAGTCCGGGTAGCCATTTGATTAGCTGTTCAGGAGTCTTATGGCTTTGGGGGGTAGAAGCTGTTGAGAAGCCTTTTGGACCTAGACTTGGCGCTCCAGTACCGCTTGCCGTGCGTTAGCAGAGAGAACAGTCTATGACTAGGGTGGCTGGAGTCTTTGACAATTTTTTAGGGCCTTCCTCTGACACCGCCTGGTATAGAGGTCCTGGATGGCAGGATGCTTGGCCCCAGTGACGTACTGGGCCGTACGTGCTACCCTCTGTAGTGCCTTGGCGGTTATACAGTATATATGTTATATATGTACACAATATCTTGGGACTTTCACCATCCATCAAAAAGGTGTAATTGGTTTGCACTCAAAAATATGTCGCATAAAGCTTACTTCATTATTCAGTTATTTTTCTGCTTCTTCAGTGTGAAGGTACAATTTTATTTTAATTCAAAACAGCATTTGTGAAGAACAACCGATGAGCAGCAGGTGCTTCTGTTCAGGGTTGCCACTCATCTGCCAACAATTAGATTTCACCTCCTTCCTATAGGCCAAATTTAGACCGTTATACAAGAACACTGTCCATATCAGATTTTGCATATCTTTTATGAGTTGGCCCCACATATTTATGAACGGCTGTGGCCGATGTCCTTTGCGGTGGGCCATCTCATGATTTAATGTGATGTATTTAGGTGAGCGGACACCTGGGGCGGTTGATTTTGTGAGTTGCCCTTCGTGCCTCGCTCCCGTACCCTATAAATCTGTATCTCTTTGTGACTCATTTGCATACAGGTAGACCAGAAAAATCCCTGATCCCTGATTGGCAGATGAGTGGCAACCCTGATTAGAAGCACCTGCTGCTCATCGGTTGTTCTTTACAAATGCTGTTTTTGAATTAAAATAAAAAAATCACACTGAAGACAGCTGTAAAGCCGAAACGTCTGTGTACGCTATCCCTAACGCAGTAAAAAAATAAATTTACAAATGTTGAATAATAATGTAAGTTTTATGCAACATCTTTTTTTTGAGAGCGAACCAAATTACACCTTTTTTGACAATGACACAACCTCCGGACATTCCGGGGACATCCTAACAACGAATTGTTTTGGTTTGCAGGTTATGCTCCAGTACAGCTGGACAGCGCAAGACTAACCTGATCCCAGATCTGGGGGTCGGGGGCCACTTCAAAGCATCCCGCCATCTGTTGAGTCTTCTGTCCTCCACAGACAGAGGGTTAAGGGATAGAAAGGGGGGGGGCTCTGCCTGGCTAAAATTAGAAACTATTCCTGGAGATACCAGGCTGACATTTCCACACAGCAGCGGGAGCTACTCGTGAACAGGGGGGCTAAGCTGTCTTCTATACCTCCTATCAGAGAAGGGAACAGACGGTCACGCCGCCAGTCACGCCCCCCCCCCCCCCCCCCCCCTTCTTTTTCCTGGCTCTGTGACATCATTTCCTGGTGGGGACCACCTGACCAGCGCCAGAAGGTTCTCTTTCTCTGTGTTATGGAATCAGAAAACTTAGCTCAGAGAGCGAGCGAGAGACAGAGAGACAGACAGACACAGAGAGAGAGAGAGCCAGAGAGACAGAGAGCCAGAGAGAGAGAGAGAGAGAGAGAGAGAGAGAGAGAGAGAGAGAGAGAGAAGGACTTAAGTGCATCCTGCACCTAGAGCTGGAACACTCCTTTTGCCATTAAGATGTTAGTGTGTGTTTATCCCACTACCCTCGAGCTCACGGCCGTCTGAAAACATCCATAAAATAGACAGGTTGATTGTTTAGCAACAAAACCGACACATGCGCAATTATGGGGCAAAACAGACGTGGTACGCTTAGATTGCTGACAACATGCAAACTACATGTAAACATAAACAAATACAGTTGTTCTAAAGTTTGGTGTCACTTAGAAATGTATTTGTTTTCAAAAGAAAAGCTATTTTTTTGTCTATTAAAATAACATCAAATTGATCAGAAATACAGTGTAGACATTGTTAATGTTGTAAATGGCTATTGTAGCTGGAAACGGCAGATTTTTAATGGAATATCTACATAGGCGGACAGAGGCCCATTATCAGCAACCATCAGTCCTGTGCAGTGGCGGCTCCTGAAAAAATTCTCAGGAGGGGCAATTTTTCTGATGATTTAGGTGACCTACACACATTTTAAAAAAGATATGTCCAGCAACAACATGAAGACAGGGGCAGCATATAAGTCAATACCAGAAGCATTTATTGACTGATCTGGGGAGATGGATTCCAGTTTCTGTGACAGATTATAAATAATCTCTGATGCCTTTGTTATATTAGCTTTTGGTTGAATGTACTGTCGTAGTAAATATATAATGTTATAGCTTGGTCTGACTAAAATCTTGTGCATGACCCATTTTGTGTTGGGCGTTTGTTTTCAATCAATGCTGTTCCTATCCTATAACAATGGACAAAAGAGTCCTATCTTGTCAGCCTTGTCAGCAGGTGGCCAAGGACAACACCCACGCCATAGGTCTCTCAGTTCTTCCAACTCACGAGTTCTTGCTCTGAGGACACACACACACACACACACACACATCATCACTGATAACACACACACACACACACACACACACACACACACATCATCACTGTTAAACACACACACACACACACCACAAAAATCCCCTCTCTTTAGGCTGAACATTTGAAGACAGAGAACCCGACTCAGAGCCAATGCAACAGTGGAGGGGACCTCGCCCAACTCATCAGGACCAATCAGAAGATCAGAACTACTAGATTCAACCTACATCATTTATTGTATAAAATGTCTGCACACAATGTTTTCGGGGCTCTCTTCAGATAGCTCCCTAAGAGTTTGACGAACGAGTCCGTGCACGCGATTCCAGATATCTTTACCTCTGAATAAACTGCCTTTATTATACCATATCCACCCTGTCCAAAGTCTCTACTTGGTCTCAGTTCTCCAGTAAACTTGTGATTATCAACAGTACACAACGGTAACAAACAATTGGGGGAACTCACGGGGCAGATAGTAAGGTCGCAGTGACACAGAAAGCAGTTCAATGTCGGGGGTACAGAGTCGCTCTCTTACCAGGATCGATTTTCCCTGTGACTGTGTCAGATCGCGGTCCGCTCTGACCAGGGTGAAGCCGGCCGGCTCCACTTCTCTGTCCGGGACTCTGTCATCCAGCCAAGTCTCCCAGCTGTATTGGATTCCGCTGCCAGCAGCGTTTTCATTATTTAGTCCGTTCGTAGCGGGTATGTACACGATCAACAAGATCAGTCCAAAACCCACCACTGGAAATCCATGGTTGGCAGAATGTTTGTAAACTAAGTGTACAAATTAAAAACATAAAATAACGCCACTAAGTGTACAAATTAAAAACATAAGATAACGCCACACTGCAGGTCGCAACAGAGACGCTGCTAGCCGCTATTTTCTTAGTTACGTTCATGGTTACGTCACGTATGACGAAAGCGCGTAAGTGCAAGCCCACAGACACCCATAGAGATTGTATTGAAAGCTTTGAAATTTGAAAAAAATAGATTTTACATGGGAGTCTATGACAGACTTCTGGGCGATTTTCAACATGACTGAAATCGCCCCAAAAACGGGCGGGGCCATTTGAAGCACGACTTTAGCCTGATTTGACATTTAGTGGCAGTCAGATCAGATTAGAACACTGATAACTACTGTTTGCCGTGATATAATTGATTAGAAAAAAAATCCCTTCCTTTTCCCGTTTGGCAGTGCGTCGCCCATATCGCCCTATTGAACACACCGCCCCTGGTCCTGTGTTCCAATGGCACGTTGTGTTTGCTAATCCAAGTTGATCATTTTAAAAGGGTAAATTATCATTAGAAAACCCTTTTGCAATTATGTTAGCACAGCTGAAAACTGTTGTGCTGATTAAAGAAGCAATAAAACTGGCCTTCTTGAGACTAGTTGAGTATTTGGAGAATCAGCAATTGTGGGTTCGATTACAGGCTCAAAATGGCCAGAAACAAAGAACTTTCTTTGCGATACAGTGAATTATAAGTGAAGTAATCTGTCTGTAAACAATTGTTGGAAAAATTACTTGTGTCATGCACAAAGTAGATGTCCTAACTGACTTGTTTAAACTATAGTTTGTTAACAAGACATTTGTGGAGTGGTTGAAAAACGAGTTTTAATGACTCCAACGTAAGTGTATGTAAACATTTGCAAAATGAGCATTTGTCGTCTCTCAAATACATCGTTACAGTTGTTGGTTAGCTAGCTAGCGAATTTGAGCCTTATAAGCATAGACGTGCCATCAGTCAAAACACCTCAGACATGGTATCAAGAACGAGATGAAACGAGATGAAACGAGATGAAACGAGATGAAACGAGTTGAAACGAGATGAAACGAGATGAAACGAGCCACTTACAATTCCCCATATGGCAGCTTCTCATCATTGTAGCTATCCAGAATCACAACAAGACATGCATTTCTTCCCCTTTGAAGCGCATGCATTGTTTTCGTGATGTTGTCAGCTAACCCGTCTATAGGTCTCCTGAAACACTTCAGTGATGTTATTATAACTATGTGGAATAAAAAAAACGGTTTACATGCTACAGTACAGCATAGCTACACACCTTTACAGCAGGTTTTAATGAACAGAGCCAGGCGCACAAACATCATACCCCTCCAAAAATGCTAACCTCCCCTGTTATTGTAATGGTGAAAGGTTAGCATGTCTTGGGGGTATGATATAAAATGCTAACCTCCCCTGTTATTGTAATGGTGAAAGGTTAGAATGTCTTGGGGGTATGATATAAAATGCTAACCTCCCATGTTATTGTAATGGTGAAAGGTTAGAATGTCTTGGGGGTATGATATAAAATGCTAACCTCCCCTGTTATTGTAATGGTGAAAGGTTAGAATGTCTTGGGGGTATGATATAAAATGCTAACCTCCCCTGTTATTGTAATGGTGAAAGGTTAGAATGTCTTGGGGGTATGATATAAAATGCTAACCTCCCCTGTTATTGTAATGGTGAAAGGTTAGAATGTCTTGGGGATATGATATTTGTGCATCTAACGTTCTCACTCATTATTCAGTCAGGACTATCCAGGTCGCAGTTGTAAATGAGAACTTGTTCTCAACTGGCTTACCTGGTTAAATAAAGGTGAAATAAATAAAAAATAAAAAAACATGGTAGCATCCACATTAAAATGTAAAAGTGTTTAGAAACATATTCTATTCTTATTTACATTTAACATTTTAGTCATTTAGCAGATGCTCTTATCCAGAGCAACTTACAGTTAGTGAGTGCATACATTTTCATACTGGCCCCCCCGTGGGAATCCAACCTACAACCCTGGCGTTGCAAACGTCATGGCACAATACATTATTTTCCATTCATTTCTATTGGGCACAAAATAATCTGAAACACAACACAACCAAAACAAACAGCAAATGCATCCTACAAGTTTGTAGAGTCACCAGCTTGATGTAGTCATTGCATTCTAGGAATATGGGACCAAATACTAAACTTTTTACTACTTTAATACACATAAGTGAATTTGTCCCAATACAAAATAACTGTCAGTCTCCCTCGGCCTGGGGCTCCATGCAAGATCTCACCTCGTGGAGTTGCAATGATCATGAGAACGGAGAGGAATCAGCCCAGAACTACACGGGAGGATCTTGTCAATGATCTCAAGGCAGCTGGGACCATAGTCACCAAGAAAACTATTGGTAACACACTACGCCGTGAAGGACTGAAATCCTGCATCCTGCAATATTAGGGACAGAACTGGAACATTGGGGATAGGACATTAGGGATAGAATATTAGGGAAGGAACTGGAACATTAGGGATAGAACATTGGGGATGGAACTGGAACTTTAGGGATAGAACATTGGGGATGGAACATTGAGGATATAACTGGAACATTAGGGATAGAACATTGGGGATGGAACTGGAACTTTAGGGATAGAACATTGGGGATGGAACATTGGGGATAGAACTGGAACATTAGGGATAGAACATTAGGGATGGAACTGGAACATTAGGGATAGAACATTAGGGATAGAACATTAGGGATGGAACTGAAACTTTAGGGATAGAACATTAGGGATGGAACTGGAACATTGGGGATAAAACATTAGGGATATAACATTGGGGATAGAACAGGAACATTAGGGATAGAACATTGGGGATGGAACAGGAACATTAGGGATAGAACATTGGGGATGGAACTGGAACATTAGGGATAGAACATTGGGGATGGAACATTGGGGATAGAACTGGAACATTAGGGATAGAACATTGGGGATGGAACTGGAACATTAGGGATAGAACATTAGGGATAGAACATTGGGGATGGAACTGGAACATTAGGGATAGAACATTAGGGATGGAACTGGAACATTAGGGATAGAACATTAGGGATGGAACTGGAACATTAGGGATAGAACATTAGGGATAGAACATTGGGGATGGAACTGGAACATTAGGGATAGAACATTGGGGATGGAACTGGAACATTAGGGATAGAACATTAGGGATGGAACTGGAACATTAGGGATAGAACATTGGGGATGGAACTGGAACATTAGGGATAGAACATTAGGGATGGAACTGGAACATTAGGGATAGAACATTAGGGATGGAACTGGAACATTAGGGATAGAACATTGGGGATGGAACTGGAACATTAGGGATAGAACATTAGGGATAGAACTGGAACATTAGGGATAGAACATTGGGGATGGAACTGGAACATTAGGGATAGAACATTAGGGATGGAACTGGAACATTAGGGATAGAACATTGGGGATGGAACTGGAACATTAGGGATAGAACATTAGGGATGGAACTGGAACATTAGGGATAGAACATTGGGGATGGAACTGGAACATTAGGGATAGAACATTAGGGATGGAACTGGAACATTAGGGATAGAACATTAGGGATAGAACATTGGGGATGGAACTGGAACATTGGAGACAGAACATTGGGGACATAACATTGGGAGCCAGGCATGTAGCCACTGTAACCCTATGAATAGGTGTTGGAAGGGAACAGATTTAGCCTGCCAAGGCTATGGGAAGGACCCAATGTTCCAGTTACATCCTCAATAGTGAAAAACCATCCATCTTAACACAGAGCTATAGGTCCATAATGAAAAAGAGCAAAAAGAGACGGCGTAGCTACGAAATGAAGCAAGGCTAGGTTTATCTGGGTTAGCAGCATCAGCTAAAGTTATCACCCACTCTCTTTGGTTCTTACACAGCTACGATTCATCATCATGTTGTTTTTATAAAACGGCAACAGCAGTAGCCACGGTACTAAATGTGCTGTGGTGCAGTTTGGGGTACCATTTTTTACACCCATTGAGGAGAGAGGATAACAGGAGAGAATTCCTAGCATTTCATAGGAAGTCATCCCTGGAAGAAAACCATGAAAACAGCCATAATGAAGCAAACCAAGGCTGCGTCCAAGATGGCACCCTATTCCCTATATAGTGTAGCGCTTTAGACCAGAGAATGGCACCCTATTCCCTATATAGTGTAGCGCTTTCGACCAGGGCCCTATGGGGTGCCATTCGGGACGCACACCAAAGCAAACCAGTGCTAAGCCAGTGACATTCAAGTCAGCAGTAGAGGAACAATTTGACTGCAGCCTAAGGAGGAGCAGGGCAGCATACAGAAAGTTGCCCTCCAGCACAGGCAGCTGAACAAAAGCTATTTTCTTTTGATTCTGCAAAAAAAAAAAAAAAAAAAAAATGCTTTGTGGCTCGAGCAAACTTCCCCCGCTACCCGACCCCCTGAAACCTCTAGCCCAGCAGTAGCCTGGCTCCACATGCCCTCTCAAATACACTCAGTACCTGCTAATCCAAGGGAGAAGATGGACTGTTTCCCCAAATGATTATGTTCCTTTCCCCCCCCCTGATCCTTTTCAGTGCATTCTCTTCTTGTCATCTTTACATCCAAGACAGGTCAGGTGGCATCGGACGACGGACTAACTTGTGAGTGTGTCTGTTATTTATGAATCGTACGTGCTCCTGTGTCTTATGTGCGCCTGCGTCTTACGTACGCCTGGCTGCACAATTAATTTCCCTTCAGTGACAAAGATTGAATAATTTGACTGTGACTGACCTCGTCCCCCGAGGCCAGGCGTTGGGTCAGCTCCTTCAGGCTCCTCATCAACCTCTCATCTCTGAAGTCGTAGGAGAACGTCTCCGTCCACTCCTGGAGCAGCTGGAGGATCTTCGGAGCCATCTTCCTGATCCTCATCTGAAAGAAGAAGAAAACATATATCGTTGCAGGTCTATCTTCAAGAAGTATATATAGTACAAATGGATAAATATTAGTCTGTACTATTATAGTATAATAGACTACAGTATAATATTATGGAGTATAATGGAGGTATAGAAGGTACCGTGTCTGCCTGAGGGTCGCTCAGTCTCCGCTGTTCCAGACATAGGTGACACACTTTGGACATGAGCTCGTGGGGTTGGATGAACAGACGAGAAGAGAGCAGGAAGGGGAATATGTATTTCCTCTGGGGAGAGAAAGAAAGATCGGGAAGGAAGAGAGATGTAAATAACAGTTTGGTTTGGGGTTTTCTCCCCTTGTGGAAAGTTAAATATGAAAAGAAAGAAAAGACAGAGAAAAGGAAAGAGAGAGAGAGAGGAGAGAAAGAGAGACGAGGGAAGAGAGACCGAGAGGAGAGGAAGGAGAATTGGAGAGAGAGCTCGGGCGCAGAAGGGCCGAGAGTAGACGGACCAGGGAGGGAAGAGAGGGAGAGAGGGGAACGAAGAGAGGGAAAAAGGGAGAAGGGGGGAACACGATGAGCAAAGGGAAAGAGAAGGAAAGAAAAGAGGGAAAAGGGGGAAAGAGAGAGGGACGGGAAAGAAAGAGGGGAAGAAAGGAAAAGAAAAAAAGAAAAGAGGGAAACAGGAAAGAGTCGAGGAAAATAAGGCCGAAGGGAAAAAGAGGAAACAGAGAAAAGAAAAGGGAGGGAAAAACAAGGAGAGAAAATAAAAGAAGGAAACAGAGAAAGAGAAACAAGGGGAAAGAAGAACGAGAGGTGATAAACATGAGGAGAGAAAGAGAGGAACAGGAAGGGAAAAGAGAGGAAAAGAAAAAACGAAAAGAAGGAAGGGAAAAAAAAGAGAGAAAAGGGAAAGAGAATAGAAGAGAGAGGAAACGAGAAGAAAAAAGAGGGGAAACAGAGAGAGGAAAAAAACAAAAAGAAGGGGAAAAAACAACGGGAAAGGGGCGGGAGGAAGAGGGCCCCAGGGAACGCGAGGGGGGCCCCCGGGTGTTGGGGGGGGGGTCGGGGGAAGGGGGGTAGGAACAGTCCAGGACCGGACCCCCCTGGTCTGGGGCGTGAACCCCCGGAGACCGATGGGCCGTCACGGGGTCGAGGATTTGCTGCAGAGGGAAAGTTTGTTAGTTTTGAAAGGAACCGAGAAAGATGAGAAAGAGAGAGGGGGAGGAGACACTACGGGGGAAGAGCATGGAGCAGGGGGGGGGGAAGGAGCCGGCAAACCAGGAGGGTTTGGGGATGAACCCGCGGACCGGACCCCAGGGTCCGGGGTACAGAGGGAGGGTGAGCGGGCCCTCCTGGGGGGCAGAACCCGGAAAGGGGGGGGGCAGACAGGGGGGATGGAGGAGTGAGACGGGGGGGGGCGAGGGGGCCGAGAGGAAGGGGCCGGAGTAGGGGGGGGAATGCAGGGGGCGAGGGCGGGGGGTTTTTCGGGGGGAAAAAGAGAAGGGGGACGAGGCGGGGGGCCGAGAGGAGGGAGAGGAGGCGGGGAGGGGGGAAAGCGAAGTGGGGGGGACGGGTGGGGGGGGTGGGAAAAAAAGGGTAAGGGGGGAGGGGGGTGGGGGCCGAGAGGAGGGAGGAGAGGAGAGGAGGGGAGGAAAGAGAGAAGGAGAGAGAGAAGAAGAGGGGAGGGGCAGAAAGAGAAGGGGAGAGAAACAGAGGCCCCAATGAAACACCGACTCCAGGCATAGAGAGAGAGCAACACAACAGGCCACCTTCTGCTTCTACTCCCCCCATACCAGCGAGCGGGGAAAAAGGGGGAAGTGGGAACAAGGGGGAGGAAAGGAGGGGAAAACCAGACCCCCCCGACAACCGACCCAGGCCCCTCCCCCATAACCCACGTGTAGTCCTAAAAACCCAGGAATGAGCTACCTCTGGTTCGTTCAGCCATCCCTATGAGGAAATTAATGGGGCTCTGGAATAAACACTGAAAATAAGGTCTGAGGTTAACATCTTCGGAGATCTTATAGGTTTTGTTCTAGGAGATAATATCAGTCAGTTAACGTGACCTTTATGAATTATGAAGCCTTCATGTGCTTTTTATTATTATTAAATACATTCTTCAAAATTCCCAAAAAGTGAAGTTAGCTGAAGATCTCCTAAGCCTGTGTTTACCACAGACCTTGTTTTCGGCGTTTATCCAAAAGACACCATTACTACTTCTCTCTATTCAGGAAGTTATTTAGGTCGTTCCACTGCACGAGTGCCAGGGATGGAGAAGGGTGAGTGATGGGTGGGTAGTAGCCAAAAGCCATAGATCAGATCATTCTACACCCCCTGCACACACACACACACACACACACACACACACAAACAAACAACCCCACACCTCCCTCATCCTCACACACACACACACATACCAACAAACAACCCACCACAACCTCCCTCATCTTCACACACACACACACACACACACAAACAAAACCCCCACACCTCCCTCATCCTCACACACACACACACACACACAAACAACCCCACACCTCCCTCATCCTCACACACAACACCATCTCCTTTATTGAGAGCACCATAGTGATTAACATCAGAATGGAGAGAGAGAGAGATAGGGGAGTCAGAGTAGCAGCCTGTGCGTCTGTTACATCAGAACTGGAGAGAAGTAGCAGCCGTGCGTCTGTTTTTACATCAGAAATGGAGGAGTCGCAGCCTGTGCGTCTGTTACATCAAGAATGGATTAGAGTAGCAGCACTGTTGCGTCTGTTTACATTCAGAATGGAGGAAGTTAGGCCAGCATGTGCGTCTGTTTACATCAGAATGGATAGAGTAGCAGCCTGTGCGTCTGTTTACATCAGAATGGAGAGAGTAGCAGCCTGTGCGTCTGTTTACATCAGAATGGAGAGAGTAGCAGCCTGTGCGTCTGTTTACATCAGAATGGAGAGAGTAGCAGCCTGTGCGTCTGTTTTACATCAGAATGGTAGAGAGTAGCAGCCTGTGCGTCTGTTACATCAGAATGGAGAGAGTAGCAGCCTGTGCGTCTGTTTACATCAGAATGGATAGAGTAGCAGCCTGTGCGTCTGTTTACATCAGAATGGAGAGAGTAGCAGCCTGTGCGTCTGTTTACATCAGAATGGAGAGAGTAGCAGCCTGTGCGTCTGTTTACATCAGAATGGAGAGAGTAGCAGCCTGTGCGTCTGTTTACATCAGAATGGAAGAGAGTAGCAGCCTGTGCGTCTGTTTACATCAGAATGGATAGAGTAGCAGCCTGTGCGTCTGTTTACATCAGAATGGAGAGAGTAGCAGCCTGTGCGTCTGTTTACATCAGAATGGATAGAGTAGCAGCCTGTGCGTCTGTTGCACCATGTGATTTACATCAGAATGGAGAGAGTAGCAGCCTGTGCGTCTGTTGCACCATGTGATTTACATCAGAATGGAGAGAGTAGCAGCCTGTGCGTCTGTTGCACCATGTGTCTCGCGGTGAGAGGGAGATCATGAGACTTGGATTGGTTTAGCCTTGCCACTGGCTGGGTGATAGTGGAAAGCAAGTGGGAACAAATAAAACAGATTGCCCCCCCCCCCCCCCCCCTCCCAGATATACATTGTTTTGGTTATTATGGACGGATGGTTTAGATGGTAACCTCACCGGCTGTGTAGGCATCTGTTTAAAAACACTATTGATCGTTCAAAGACTAAAGTATTACACAATATAGACAGAAGATATATTCATGAGTTAAATAAAATGTCAACATGTAGTTATGGGTTAACCAGGCAAATCAAAACGAATTCCTATGTACAAATACAATGACTGCCTGGCTATGAATAGCAGTACATTAATATCCATTACTTAAAATAAACACATGTATCCTATCCTATGTTTACGCCAACACCAATCTGTTCCCAGTCATTCCTTGGCACCATAGTTGGCACTACACTCTGCCCCACTCATTATCACATGCCCAAGCCACCCGATTGGACTACATGGGTGTCAAAATTGGGTGACAACTTGAGTCAAGATGTCTCGTGGCCGTCTTGAGTGAGCACAAGGGTAATTTCTCCCCACACTGAAACACTTCTGGAAGAAAAAAAAAAATGTTTTTGCTGCCAACATTGACAGATGGAATCCTTGTCATTGGCCTGATATTTACATTTTAGTCATTTTAGCAGACGCTCTTATCCAGAGCGACTTACAGTTAGTGAGTGCATACATTTTTCATTTTTTTATTTGTGCCACCCATAAGTGAGAAACCTACATGCCAAGTACAGGCCATATATTGTGTTCCATTCAGGTTATAGAAAACAGCAGAGGCTCTAAACTATCCGTTCAGACCCCCCAGTCCTACCCATCTACAGATTATAGAAACTGGGCTCTTTTAGTATTTCTCCAGCAGGTTTCATGAAGGAAAAAGCCTCCAAAGATAATAAAACAAATACTACAGTAATGTCCCCAAAAAAACTACAGTAATTACTGTTGTATATACACTACTATTTGTTTTACTAAAGTATTTATACTATAGTAAATTGTAAATACTACAGTACAATACAGTAAATACAACAGTATTCACTGTAGTGTTTTTGTGGACTTCAGGTCACTGATGGTGTGAGACCAGCAGTGGTCCTGGGCAGTAAAACACTACACAGGATATCCCATTCCCACGCCTCAGGCCTGGGTGGAGGCATGCAGGGAGAGAGGGGTTTGGCCCTAGACGGAGAGTACACCGTGGCAGAATACCTCAGTGAGCATAGCCTTGCTATTGAGAAAGGCCGCCATAGGCAGACCTGGCTCTCAAGAGAAGGACAGGCTATGTGCACACTGCCCACAAAATGAGGTAGAAACTGAGATGCACTTCCTAACCTCCTGCCAAATGTATGACCATATGAGACAACTCAAGGAATGTGACATTCATTTTGACGTTTTTGCCAAAAGAGATCTTAGTCGCGCAATTTTACATCTAACTAAGATGTTTGGTGCAGTGTTTTTCAATGAAAAAATATGCATGAAAACCAGTCTCTCGTTGAATGACAAATATTTTATTGAAGTATCCCTACTGTTGACCAATCACAGACAAAAGGGACCGAACAGCCAAAAACACCCTCACCGAAGTCCAAAATGAACAAAAAACGTCACAAAATGTCATCATAATATACGCAAACACACACTACCGAACTGTTTAGGCTGGAAAGCATGCAGACGCCTTTAGAGACATATTTCCCTCAGATTACCCAGACACACAAAGAATTAGAAAACTAATAAAATGTTGATAAACTCCCATATTAGCCAAAATACCAGTGTGCCATCACAACAGCAAGATTTGTGAAAAGGGCAACCAGTGAAGAACAAACACCATTATAAAGCCCTTTGAATTGAAAGAGAAAGACAGAGAGGGGGGAGAGAGAGAGGGGGAAGAGAGAGAGGGGGGAGAGAGAGAGAGGGGGAAGAGAGAGAGGGGGAAGAGAGAGAGGGGGAAGAGAGAGAGGGGGAAGAGAGAGAGGGGGAGAAAGAGAGAGAGGGGAAAGAGAGAGAGAGGGGAAAGAGAGAGAGAGGGGAAAGAGAGAGAGGGGAAAGAGAGAGAAGGGGGAGAGAGAAGGGGAGAAAGAGAGAGATGAGGGACACTTGGAGGAGCCTAAATAAACAGCCCCCCACCCTTTAGTTAAACAATCAAAAAGCATGAAGAATGCCACTCACCCATAGCATTAAGAAGTGGAGTTGGCGATTAGGAACTAGATAGCCCCCATCCCAGACCTCAGCCGGTGAACCAAGGATAAGGGAAACGTATCTAGTGGTTATCTATATAGAATCTTTGCCTAAACCCTGCAGCTAAGCGAAGGCCATGGAAGGGACCCTGGTGTGGAGGTAAATAAAAACAAGCCACCTAGGTAGTAATGTTAAACAGTGTCATGGTAGAAAACACGTCCCATTATAAAGAAGTACATTCCGCACTTTAGTGAGGTGAGCACTCTTTAATACAGCAAAGATAAATGAACCTGATTTGCATAGCCAGTCATTGCAGTGGCTAGAAGAAGTAACCGTTGTGTGTTTTAGTCAAATCATACCAGCATAGCATACACCTACCTAGGTCCCATGGGTTGACCAGTGACTCCCAAACAAGGGGGTACTAGGACCTCTGGGGGTTCTTGGTCTATCCACAGGGGATACTTGAGAAGACTCATGAGACCATAAGCTTACTAGTAAAATGCACCTGAGGGGGTACTTCAGGGGTACTCCGGGCAGAGGAAAATTCAGTTGGTGGTACCCTGAAAAAGGTTGGGAACGACTGGGCTTGACAACTATTTTTTATGTTCATTTATTTAGGCTACAAATCTATTCCATATATTAAATCAAAGCACAGAGAATGTATCCAAATAAACCCTATAGCGCTTGAATCTCAACAAAAACTCACAAGGCAGACGCAGTAAAAACAGAACTCAAAATACTTTCCCCAACGGCAGCAACAGTAGCTTCCACACGCTGCCGTCCTCTCAGAGCGCGCATAACACCTACGCATACCGTGATAGTAAATATGGGTAGAAATTATTCTCAAACTAAACTCTAAAGCAAATTTATAAAACACCAATATTTACAGCAAATTAGGAAATAAAATGAAAATATCTCACCTCCGAATAAGTAACTGCGAGTAGAATCCGTAATATATCTTCCCCACTTGAATAAAGCAAGCACTTTCTCCAATGAAACCCGTGAGTTTCTACTGATATTCAGCCGCAGGTTTCCTCTGCCCTTATATTCAACATGTTCACTTGCAAATCAAGAGTAGAAGGAACGTGTATTCACGTTTTCACAAGGCTTGACCGAGTTCTTGGTAAGACACCCAAACATCCACATGCATATGCAGCGAGACTGTGGCGCGGAGATCCGCACTCCAAGCGTATTGACTTGTATGAGCTGGAGAAACCGGAAAAGCCTACTAATGGCTTGACTATACCGCAGGCCAGCCAATCAGAGACGAGAACGAGCTTGCACGGCATCGCTCACGTTTCAATGGGCAATTTCGTTTTACATAGCCCAGTGCCCCGGGTGTGCGGAGTTAGTTCGTTTTAGACCATTCAAATTGGTCCTCAAGTGAACTCTTAACTACCTGCCGCCTCAAAACGAGCTCGCCCAATCATAGCTGGATGGAGACTTGGAGCTCTTTGGCAATTTTACGCATGATGATATGCGATAATAAAGGAGAAAATATTTTAACACATGCATGTCATTATCATTGTAGGGATCCAATAATAAACTGTCGTGAATGGTGTCTAAAGCAATGTTTTCGGGGACAAATGTTATTTGCCACATGCGCCAAATACAACAGGTGTAGACCTCACAGTGAAATGCTTACTTACAAGCCCTTAACCAACAATGCAGTTTTAAGAAAATAAAAAAGTGTAAAGTAAAAAATAGATAAGTAAAAAATAAAAATAGCAAATAATTAAAGAGCAGCAGTAAAATAAAATAACATTAGGGAGGCTATATACAGGGGGGTACCGGTACAGAGTCAATGTGCGGGGGCACCGGTTAGTTGAGGTAATTGAGGTGATATGTACATGTGGGTACAGTTAAAGTGACTATGCACAGATAATAAACAGTAGCAGCAGCGTAAAAAAGGGAGTCAGGGTGGGGTGGGGTGGCAATGCAAATAGTCCGGGTAGCCATGATTAGCTGTTCAGGAGTCTTATGGCTTGGGGGTAGAAGCTGTTAAGAAGCCTTTTGGACCTAGACTTGGCGCTCCGGTACTGCTTGCCGTGCGGTAGCAGAGAGAACAGTCTATGACTAGGGTGGCTGGAGTCTTTGACAATTTTTAGGGCCTTCCTCTGACACCGCCTGGTATAGAGGTCCTGGATGGCAGGAAGCTTGGCCCCAGTGATGTACTGGGCCGTACGCACTACCCTCTATAGTGCTTTGCGGTCGTAGGCTGAGCAGTTGCCATACCAGGTGGTGATGCAACCAGTCAGGATGCTCTCGATGGTGCAGCTGTATAACTTTTTGAGGATCTGAAGACCCATGCCAAATCTTTTCAGTCTCCTGGGGGGGAATAGGCTTTATCGTGCCCTCTTCACGACTGTTTTGATGTGTTTGGACCATGATAGTTTGTTGGTGATGTGGACACCAAGGAACTTGAAGCTCTCAACCTGTTCCACTACAGCCCCGTCGATGAGAATTTTCCCTGTAGTCCACAATCATCTTCTTTGTCTTGGTCACGTTAAGGGAGAGGTTGTTATCCTGGCACCACACGGCCAGGTCTCTGACCTCCTCCCTATAGGCTGTCTCATCATTGTCGGTGATTAGGCCTACCACTGTTGTGTCGTCGGCAAACTTAATGATGGTGTTGGAGTCGTGCCTGGCCATGCAGTCATGGGTGAACAGGGAGTACAGGAGGGGACTGAGCACGCACCCCTGAGGGGCCCCCGTGTTGAGGATCAGCGTGGCAGATGTGTTGTTACCTACCCTTACCACATGCAGAATATAGTTTAGTGTAATTTATCTAAACATGCATAATGAAGCATTTTAGGCACTTGTGTGTGTCCTTGCCTATGGGATTTGCAGATGGCATGACAGGCTGTTTAATACCCATGTGTTATTACTACAGTGCATTCGGAAAGTATTTAGACCCCTTGACTTTTTCCACATTTTGTTACGTTACAGCCTTATTCTAAAATGGATCAAATTCATATTTTTCCTCATCAATCTACACAAAATACCCCATCTGGCAACAAACTGAACGAAATGGACTGAAACACGGGAGCAGAACTGTCAGCAAAAGTGAAACAGAACAGATGAGAGTACGCTTACACCAGATGAAAAGAAACCATATGAACACCAATACATTTTTTATTTGTGAAGTTGACAAAAGTAGATTGTGAAAAGAGAGAGAGAATAACGCTGAATTTAAGTTGCTTCACTGAGACCACTGAACCTTTGGAACGTCAGGCTTAAACCATTTTACGGTTAATTAAACAATTAACAAAGCAGATTAATTTCATGTTGGCCCTACACTCCGGCAAGAGGTAAACGTACATTCGGAGAGCCTACAAGTCCTTTCCAAATATGAAAAGGCATGGAGTGCTCAACCCCACCAGACCTGGGTCAAAAGAAACACACAGCCGTAGCGTACGTCAAATACTTCCGAGCTGTACTTAAGATGACCCGGGTCTGCACCCATTATGTCTTCTATAAAGACCTCTGATTATGTCCTGTCTCTGTCCTCAGTTCCATCATCATGCCTGGTAGTGGTCGACGCCCCAATCTCACCTGCCGCTACCCCCTCCACCCTGCTACACTGGTGGCAACAGCTGTGGCTGTGATGTGGTGTCTGCTTCGGTCTCTGCTGGTTCTGGGCCAGACCACTGAGGAGCGTTAGTACCCTGATTTCATGCTCCATACGGGCCCTCTCCCGCCGGTCCTCCCTGTCCGCGGCCTCCCTCTGCCTCAGTTCCTCCTTCTCCAGCCACTGGGACAGCAAGTCCTGCTGCCAGCGAGCCTGACATAGACACACAGAGAGAGAGAGAGAGTTTAGACACTGAGTTTTCTACCAAAAGCATTATGTACACCCATCTAGTACCGGGTCGGACCCCCTTTAACTCCAGAACAGCCCGAATTCTTTGGGCATGGAAACGTTGCTCAATTGGTATCAAGGGACCTAACGTGTGCCAGGAAAACATTCACCACACCACCAGCCTGTACCGTTGACACCAGGCAGGATGGGTCCATGGACTCACGCTGCTTACGCCAAATCCTGACTCTGCCATCATCATGACGCAACAGGAACTGGGATTCGTCGAACCAGGCAATGTTTTTCCCACTCCTCAATTGTCCAGTGTTGGTGATCGCTTGACCACTGTTTTTTTTAGCTGATAGGAGTGGAACCCGGTGTGGTCGTCTGCTGCAATAGCCCATCCGTGACAAGGACCAACGAGTTGTGTGGGTACGTGATGCCGTTCTGCACTAATGCGGTTCTCCTTAGCTCCCCATGAGCAACCTTCTGAAGGTCTAAAATTCAAATTAGAATCCAAATATTCATCATGAATGGATAAATGGAACCTGGGACAATAAACCGAAAATTACAGACAAAACGGCATTGCCTTCCTCTTACAGAAGTATTTTGCTTACGTCTGTAATATTTTGTGATTTTGCTGCTACACAACGTTCCTGTAGATTGTTCTAAAACCATGATTTGGTCAACAGTAATAACAGCCCTATGCATTATGTTGATTCCTGCCATGAAAGAGGAGGGAGAGATGTATTCTAAGAAGCATAAATGCACAACGCTATTGCGGGAAAAAATACAGTTTTCAATGAACTACTGTTGTTCTAGTTACAGAGAGGAGAGTCACAGCTTTCTTTGTGGCGCAGTGGTCTGTGCCACTAGAGATCCTGGTTCGAATCCAGGCTCTGTCGTAGCCGGCCGCGACCGGGAGACCCATGGGGCGGCGCACAATTGGCCCAGCGTCGTCCAGGGTAGGGGAGGGAATGGCCGGCAGGGGATGTAGCTCAGTTGGTAGAGCATGGCGTTTGCAACGCCAGGGTTGTGGGTTCGATTCCCAGTATGAAAAAAAATAATGTATGCACTCACTAACTGTAAGTTGCTCTGGATAAGAGCGTCTGCTAAATGACTAAAATATAATGTATCTCTTAATATTGAGTTAATGGCACCACTTTCAATCCAGAGTAGGTTTTAGTTAGGATGGTTTTGATGCGCGGAGCCATTTGAAGTGACTACGCCTACATCAAGTCTAGCGCTGGAAAGTTTTTGTAGGACATTTACTGATAGATTAATCAATTAGCCTACATGGCAACATATTCATATTTAGAGCTAGCAATCTGGCTAAGTGTTTGAGTTCCCCTTCATTTGAATAATAAAGTCTATAGGCTACAAAGATGTCAGCAAATTCTCTGTTATTGAGCAAAATAGTTACATTTATCGCAATATGACTTTAGTCCATATCGCCCAGCTCTATGCTCAACGGTGCTAACAATGTAAAAGTTAGCAGAACTGTATGTGTGCCAAAATAAATGCATCACAGAGTTCAAGTAACAGACACATCTCAACATCAACTGTTCAGAGGAGACTGTGTGAATCAGGCCTTCATAGTAAAATTGCTGCAAAGTAACCATAACTAAAGGACACCAATAAGAAGAAGAGACCTGCTCTGGCCACGAAACACGAGCAATTGACATTAGACTGGTGGAAATGTGTCCTTTGGTCTGATGAGTCCAAATTTGAGATTTTTGGTTCCAACTGCCGTGTCTTTGTGAGACGCAGAGTAGGTGAACGGATGATCTCCGCATGTGTGGTTCACACCGTGAAGCATGGAGGAGGTGGTGTGAGGGTGCTTTGCTGGTGACACTGACTGTGATTTATTTAGAATTCAATGCACACTTAACCAGCATGGCGACCACAGCATTCTGCAGCGATACGCCATCCCATCTGGTTTGGGCTTAGTGGGACAATCATTTGTTTTTCAACAGGACAGGCTGTGTAAGGGCTATTTGACCAAGAAGGAGAGTGATGGAGTGCTGCATCAGATGACCTGGCCTCCAAAATCCCCCCGACCTCAACCTAATTGAGATGGTTTGGGATGAGTCGGACCGCAGAGTGAAGGAAAAGCAGCCAACAAGTGCTCAGCATATGTGGGAACACCTTCAAGACTGTTGGAAAAGCATTCCAGGTGAAGCTGGTTGAGAGAATGCCAAGAGTGTGCAAAGCTGTCATCAAGGCAAAGGCTGGCTACTTTGAAGAATCTCAAATATAAAATATATTTTTGATTTGTTTAACACTTTTTTTGGTTACTACACGATTCCATGTGTGTTATTTTCATAGTTTCGATGTCTGTATGTCTCTGACCTGCTCCTGCCTCTGGCCTTCCAGCTGCACCATCAACTCCCGGGACTCTGAGACCAGCCTCTGGAAGCAGTCTGCCAGGTGCTTCAACACAGGCTCCAGGGACTGGGTGGAGGGGATGGCGGTAGCACTGCCCAGGTTGGGGCTATGGTCTGGGGGTGGAGAGAAAGGGGAAGCAGGCTGGGGTGGTGGGGGTGTTGACCTGGAGCTGCGGTCATCCTCCAATGGATGAACTGCAAGGCAAGAGATTAAATAGATTCACAAAAAAAAAAAAAAAAAAAAGAAAATCAGATTAAATTAAAGCTTTATTGTTCCAACACTGGGCAATTTGATTTGCATGAAAATTGAGTAAACTGTTGATACAGTAGAGTACATTGCAAGGTTATTATAGTAAATTAAAACTGAAACGAAAATAAAAACAAAAATTGGAAAAAACAATTTAGTAAAATAAAAAATACAATAAAAAAAACACTTGAAAAAACAAACTATTCTGAAACTACTATTTTTGAATGCTAAAATAAAATAGAAACATTATAAATTATGTTTAGATTTAGTTTTATTTTTTTATTCTAAACTTTGGGCAAAAAATGAAATGGGGTTTCCAAGCTATTTTTATAACGAGGTTTTCGAGCTTCTGAATCTGGCGGGTAAAATGTTGCCAGTAGATGGCGATGTTTCAAATAGTCCTAGCTTGTGCATCACCATCACTAGCTAACAGGGAAGACATCTGAGGACGAGCACGGGGCGTGACTGGGCCAAGCTAGAGCAGATTGGGAAGTTGTTGGAGCCGTTTACTTCAAAACTGACAGCCGGTCGTGTGTCTGATGTGGTGCCAATCTTGAGGCATTCAACTACGGGTTGCAAAACAGTTGCCACGTGTCCTCCTGAAGTCACTGCGTGAGCGCTTGACATGCATACTGAATCGTCGGGCAGCCAACTTCGATCCAACCCCTGCAGCAGCTTGCCTGTCTCTGGCACGTTGCTCAACAGAGATGGAGCCACTGATGAGGGAATATGGCTGTGCGATATGGCCTCACATCTAGATGTTTTTTTAAACTTATGGCCAACATTTATTTATTTATATCTAAGTTTTGTTGTACAATTAAAAGGTCAAATACACTACATTTCAAACAGTCAGCAATAATTTAATAATTATATTAGACCACCTAATAATTATATTATTCTATCGAAATAGTTTTACCTACTTTTTTGCAATAATCACTGATCTGGCTTTTAAGTCTCTGAAAATGCCTTTTTAGTTAAAACCATGCATAATCTTTGGCTAAAATGCTGCTAGCGGTACGTGGTATTATAATGCAGCGCGACAAATATCCCAGAATTAATGTTCATTGATACTCCCGCTTTAGTAGTGTCTGCTCTGAGCGCAATTTGAGTTGAGACATAAAAAAGGTTAGAAAGGTTAACTTCTCCTCTATTACAGTAAAATAATGGCTCAATGTGTTTGTGTCCATATGACCGATTCTGTTGGACCAAATTGCAAATAGCGAGTTGAAACCGCTTGTCAGAGAGGAGGAAGTGATCTCTCATCTTTGTTGTTGTGAGTGGCAAGGGGGGGAAGAGAGGAAGAGGCGAAGCGAAAGGTTTCACTCTAGCCAAGATTTGTCCAAAATAAGCCCAATGTGTTTCTATGGCCTGCCTTCACGCCTTTGGGACAACGGCTCCCATTGTTAGGGTTGAGATGTGAGCATCTCCTCATTACACACGGATCTCTGGTGTAAATGGGAAGGTGTGAAGGAGACGAGACCAAAAAAGACAACATGAGAACAAGCGAACACAAACGCTACGAAAATCAAAAAAAAATAAAAAAAAAAAAACTTGATTCTTGCGATACAGGCGTTTGGAATATTGCACAAAAAACATAATTTGAATTAATTAAATATATCGCTCAGCCTATGAGGGAAGCAGAGTCTTTTGTACTTCAGCAAATCAGAGAGTACATCTGTGGAGCAGCAGGACCGCAGGAAGACGGTTGATTTGAAAACCAATAGAACTTGAAAGAAAAAGGCTACTGGTTTCAATGGCATATGGACGTCTTTATAAAGTAATTGCCTGCACGTTTGGTTGGATTTTGGCTACTTTGAAGCCATGCCTCATAATATGTAGTAAAATGTTCAGGTTTCAAACAATTAAGCATGTTTTCAAAATGCATACTGCCTCCAGGTCATTGCAAAGTGGCGTGTGACGCGCTGAAGCCTTCCTAGTTGCCTATACACTTCAATGGTGAATGGGAAGCGCTTCAATTACTAGTTGAGAAATAAAAATAGCTATTTTTAATCGTGGCCATTGTATTTATTTATTTTTATTTTTATTTTGTACATGTGATTGCCTTTAGAATTGTTGTGCAATGAGGCAAACTTTTATAATTTTTGCAACCAGGAAAAAGGCAGAGTGATATTAATATTACATAACATGTCAAATGTGCCATGACTTCATTTAATTGTTTTTTCCTCTCTCTTTCTGTCAGATAAAGGTACTTGATTCGTCTTACATATACTACTAAAGCTAAATAAGCACTGGATTGGTGTAAACTTGGGCAAGAGAGTTTCCTTCCACCATACTTCTTGCACCAGTCTAGGCGCTTATCCTTTAAATCCAAGTCACATTAGGATTGATTGATAATTTAAATGTAACCAAACCTGTGTCCAGGCCCAGGAGCTGTATGGAGTCCTCTAGTGGCCAAAAGCCTGTGTTAGCATGGGCAGCGCCATTGATGACTTTCACCATTTTGATTTAGTCAACTTCATTGGCTGATCCTTTCTGATGAACCGGTTGGCATGACCTGACGACCCGGTTGGGGTCTTGACAGCCGGGTCATCAGGAAGAATCAGCCAATTAATTTCACTTGTGAAGAAGAACATTTACTATTTCAAGATGGAGATGGCCCCAATAGTGCTACACGGATGGTGCTACCCCATGCTCTCACTGATGCCATCATGACACAGATACAGAGATGTTGTCTATCCAAGTCTATGGTCCTGGCCCATCACCTTATGTATTACTACCCCCCCCCAGTGGCAAGAAGTGACATCCCAAAAAACAAACTATAGTCCTACAACACTTAACTGGCTCCTAGCCGCCCACACTGTCCCTTGATAAAGAAAAGGAAAGCCTCACACTCTAGGAGCTCAGATGCAATAACTGTAAAACCAACGTTTGGACAGACGAGCTGTCTTCATCAGGGTACAAGCTTGTCTGTCGAAATGTTGGTTACTAAAATATTGCATCTGAGCTCCTAGAGTGTGAGGCACTCCTTTTCTTTATCAAGTGTTCTACTCCGCTAGCCAGCAAAGCAAATCAAATCAAATTGTATTGGCCACATGCACATTACAGTGAAATGCTTACTTACAGCCCTTAACCAACAATGCATTTATTTTGTAATAAAAAAGTCCCTTGACACAGATACAGAGTGACATCCCAAAAAAAACTACTCAAAGCCTACAACACATCCATGGCTGCCAATATAGGCTACTTTCTAAAACTAAAAAATGTAAAAATGAAATATAAAATGTTTTTTTTTTATCAAACTGAAACTAAATAGAAACTAGTAAATTAACTCTGAAAACAAACTGAAACTAAACTGAATTTAAAATAAAACAAAAAACGAATAGAAAAAAAAAAAAAAACTAATTAAATCGTTAAACTATAATAACCTTGGTACATTGTGCTTCAGCCAATCTGATGTAGAGTTAATTGCCTAGGGAGCACGGAACTCAGTGAAAGCCAATCTGATTTGTTAGAAATGATCATTTAAAAAAGGTAGACGGAGCGAGATGACATTGCAATTAACAGCACTGCAGATATTGGAATGAATGTGATGCAAAACTTTGCTCTCACTAAGTCACACAGAGTATATGAGCACGGCTGCTAAAACGTAGCCACGGGACCAAAACAGCAGAGGCGTTTAGCCTCGAACTTCCAAGTTGTTAGTTGTTGCAGAAATTGACCCACTATGTGTTTACAGTTCTTTGTGCTTGTGTCGTTCCATGTAATTTCAGCCATGACACCCACCAACTCAGATTGTTCTGAAATCGTTTCTGTAGTTGAGGAGTTTACCACATCAGTCACTGGCTTCATTAATAAGTGCATCAACGACTTTGTCCCCACGGTGTCCGTACGTACATATCTCAATCAGAAGCCATGGATTACAGGCAACATCCGAACTGAGCTAAAGGCTAGAGATGCAGTTTTTAAGGAGAGTGACACGAATCCTACTACACCGGCTCTGACGCTCTTCGGATGTTGCAGGGCTTACAAAATATAATGGATTACAAAAGGCAAACCCAGCCGCGAGCTGCCCAGTGACGCGAGCCTACCAGAAGAGCTGAATGCCTTCAATGCTCGCTTCGAGGCAAGCAACACTGAACCATGCATGACAGCACCAGCTGTTCCGGACAACTGTGTGATCACGCTTTCCGTTGCTGATGTGAGTAAGACCTTTAAACAAGTTAACATTCACAAGGCCGCAGGGCCCGACAGATTACCAGGACACGTACTCAGAGCATATGCTGACCAGCTGGCAAGCGTCTTCACTGACATTTTCAACCTCTCCCTAACACAGTCTGTAATACCTTAATGTTTCAAGCAGACCACCATAGTCCCTGTGCCCAAGAACACCAAGGTAACCTGTCTAAATGACTATCGTCCCATAGCACTCACATCTGCTTTGAAACGCCATCGTCCCAGACACCCTGGACCCACTCCAATTCGTATACCGCCTCAACAGATCTCTATTGCACTCCACACTGCCTTTTCCCACCTGGACAAGAGGGAACACGTATGTGAGAATGCTGCTCATTGACTACAGCTCAGCGTTCAACACCATAGTGCCCTCCAAGCTCATCACTAAGCTAAGGACTCTGGGACTAAACACCTCCCTCTGCAACTGGATCCTGGACTTCCTGACGGGCCGCCCCCAGGTGGTAAGGGTAGGTAACAACACATCTGCCACGCTGATCCTCAACACGGAGGCCCCTCAGGGGTGCGTGCTCAGTCCCCTCCTGTACTCCCTGTTCACCCATGACTGCATGGCCAGGCACGACTCCAACACCATCATTAAGTTTGCCGACGACACAACAGTGGTAGGCCTGATCACCGATGACGATGAGACAGCCTATAGGGAGGAGCTCAGAGACCGACAACAACCTCTCCCTCAACGTCAGCAACACAAAGGAGCTGATCGTGGACTACAGGAAACGGAGGGCCGAGCACGCCCCCATTCACATCGACGGGGCTATAGTGGAGCGGGTCGAGAGCTTCAAGTTCCTTGGCGTCTACATCACTAAAGGCGTCAGCATGCTTCAGTTCGGCTGGCGCCTTGCCGAACTTGGCTAGCGTAACCAATTTTTTTTTTAAACATGAAAACAAGTCGTCTTAACGTTGAATGACAAATACTTTATTTAAGAATCCCTACTGTTGACCAATCACTGGCGAAGGGGCGTAAACTTCGGCTCCAAACTTCGGCTTGCCTCCAGAAAAAAATGCTGGTGCCCGAACAGACAAAAAAAAAAACATCTCCGAAGTCCAAAACGAACAAAAACGTCACAAAAATGTCATCAGAATATATGGTACGAACTCTTCCGAACTGTTTTTCGGCTGGGAAGCGGACGCCTTAAGGATCTGTCATGGCCCTCACACACCAACCTCCCGAGTGGCGCAGTGGTCTAAGGCGCCGCATCGCAGCGCTAACTGTGCCACTAGAGATCCTGGTTCGAATCCAGGCTCTGTCGCAGCCGGCCGCGACCGGGAGACCCATGAGGCGGCGCACAATTGGCCCAGCGTCGTCCAGGGTAGGGGAGGGAATGGCCGGCAGGGGATGTAGCTCAGTTGATAGAGCATGGCGTTTGCAACGCCAGGGTTGTGGGTTCGATTCCCACGGGGGGGCCAGTATAAAAAAAATATATATATATGTATTCACTAACTGTAAGTCGCTCTGGATAAGAGCGTCTGCTAAATGACTAAAATGTAAATGTAAACACAGTCGTGAAGAGGGCACGACGACGCCTCTTCCCCCTCAGGCTGGGCCCTCAGATCCTCAAAAAGTTATACAGCTGCACCATTGAGAGTATCTTGACTGGCTGCATCATCGCTTGGTGTGGCAACTGCTTGGCATCCGACCGCAAGGCGCTACAGAGGGTAGTGCGTACAGCCGAGGTCCCTGCCATCCAGGACCTCTATACCAGGCGGTGTCAGACGAAGGCCCTAAAAATGGTCAGACTCTAGCCACCCAAGCCATAGACTGATCTCTCAGCTACGGCACGCAGAACCGATGCACCAAGTCCGGAACCAACATGACCCCTGAACCCCAAGCCATAATAGTTAACCAAATAGCTACCCGGACATCGACCCTTTTTGCACTAACTTTTATGACTCATCACATATACGCTGCTGCTACTACTTATTATCTGTCATCTATTCCTGTACATATCTACCTCAATTACGTCGTACCCCTGCACATCGACTCTGTACTGGAAGCCAAGTTATCGTTCCTCGTTGTGTATTTATTATTACGTGTTCTACTTTTCTATTATTTCTCTATTTTCTTTCTTTCTGCGTTGTTGCTGAGAGAACGCAGGTCTAGAATGGGACGCAAAGACCCGTCCCTTTCCGGGAACCAGGAAATACCGGCTGTACCAACCGTCTTGGCTCTTCGACAAAGGAACTACTCAGATTGCCTGTTTCTGGAGACGGGAGGATATTTCCTCCCTCAAAAAGGACGCTGAGTCCTCCGGAACAGTCGACACGATGACACTGCAGAAGCGTTGGGGATGCACAACGAATTGTCGTCACTGTTCGCATGATCCAGGGTGACACTGCGCATGCACGCCACTGGTCCGAGCAGACAGCGAGCCTCCAATGAAGTGTCAGCTGAAGGGGTGGGACGCCACCTTGTGGACTGGGAGAGATTGGTTCTTCTTCCATTTCCACCACTCTGGACAATCGTGTGTCTATACATGGAGAAGGGACACTTTTCCTCAAACTCACATGCGGGAGACACAACACTTTTGACACCCGCGAACACTGCAGAACTTTGAGGATGAAAAAAACGGTGTTTATGTGCCAAGATTTTCCTAAAGCGCGGCCAACTCTGGGTACAAGGGCTCCAGCAATCAGTGACGTCCACTGATTGGCAGTGCCACCTGGGAGAACTCACAATGAGCCTCACTCGGTGTACACTGCCCCCTTATGGGTGTACACTGCCCCCGGCAATGGCTGACGTAGTACCCCGTTTGGCGTAACAAAACGTGGGGGCACTGTCATCACAGCAATGATGTCACTATCGGAAACACCAAGCCCCCTAAAGAATGCTACACGATTGTCAAGAGAACCTGCGCTGCGGACTAGCAGGGGAACAGTGCCAGCCATCCCCTAGTCTCAAACACAAACTGATTTGAGCGAAGGCAGCCTGAGCATGCACCGAGCCGAGACATACAAGACAACCAAAGTGATTATCTTTTAATTAATTGGGGCATGGTCGCGAACCCAAACCCAGCTTGTTAGCCTTCGTCGTTTCGGTCGCGTTAGCCATCTTACTTATTGCTATAGCCAGGCCAAGCAATTAGAAGAATAAGGAATTGTTCGTTATTAGGAAACTTTTGAGAACCATACAAACTTCAGCACACAACGTTTCAGTTTAGTCCAGGCAGTTTAGTCCAGGGGATGAGCACGCTCTACCACTAAGGGACAGTTTAGTCCAGGGGATGAGCACGCTCTACCACTAAGGGACAGTTTAGTCCAGGGGATGAGCACGCTCTACCACTAAGGGACAGTTTAGTCCAGGGGATGAGCACGCTCTACCACTAAGGGACAGTTTAGTCCAGGGGATGAGCACGCTCTACCACTAAGGGACAGTTTAGTCCAGGGGATGAGCACGCTCTACCACTAAGGGACAGTTTAGTCCAGGGGATGAGCACGCTCTACCACTAAGGGACAGTTTAGTCCAGGGGATGAGCACGTTCTACCACTAAGGGACGAGTTTAGTCCAGGGGATGAGCACGCTCTACCACTAAGGGACGAGTTTAGTCCAGGGGATGAGCACGCTCTACCACTAAGGGACAGTTTAGTCCAGGGGATGAGCACGCTCTACCACTAAGGGACAGTTTAGTCCAGGGGATGAGCACGCTCTACCACTAAGGGACAGTTTAGTCCAGGGGATGAGCACTCTCTACCACTAAGGGACAGTTTAGTCCAGGGGATGAGCACGCTCTACCACTAAGGGACAGTTTAGTCCAGGGGATGAGCACGCTCTACCACTAAGGGACAGTTTAGTCCAGGGGATGAGCACGCTCTACCACTAAGGGACAGTTTAGTCCAGGGGATGAGCACGCTCTACCACTAAGGGACAGCCAGACACAAAGAACTGATTCCATTACATAGGATGAAGAAACAAGCCACCGCTCCATACTACTTGTCAGACACAAAGAACTGATACTATATACTTGTTGTTGGGGTGGGATTGGCGTGCGGTGTGGGGGTTCGTGGGTGGCTTTTGACCATTTCTTTGGATTCCTCATGACTAACTCATTGTTTAAAAAAAAGGTTGGTCCAAATCGGATGTTAGGTACTATATTTATTTAATATTATATGAATCCTATAAATTAAAAAAAAACGCCAATTTGGATGCAATCAATTAGGTTAATTTCTCAGCGATTAAATAATATTTCAACAAAATAATATTTCAGGAACGCTAATCTTATCTGTTTCTACCAACAGAAACAATTTCAGAACAATGTGAGATGGTGTGTGTTCAAAATCCTCTTTCTTGTTGTTTTTGAGCTGTAACGACCCAATTTCAACGTCATCTCGCTGAGTCTACCTTTAAATGATAATGATAGTGGCACTGATAGCAGAAAGTGTGACAGACAGACAGTAGAATACATACCAACAGGTTCATGACAGTCGTTGCTGTGCTCTAGAAAAGCATCATGGCGTCTTCCACCCGGGCCAGCCAGTGACCGAGTGGTGATTCCTACGCCGTTGAACTCGTAGTCGTCTGTGTCCTCTGCCTCTCTGTCCTCCTCCTCCACCTTCATCTCAGACACCAGATACCGGGATTGTCGTCCTGCTGTCCCCTCAGAAGATCCAAAATGGCGTCCTCCTCCTAGTCCTCCAATCCCTTCAGATCCAAAATAGCGCCCTGTTCCTACGATCAATTCAGACCCAAAATGGTACCCTCCTAATCCTCCTATGCCTTCAGGAGATCCAAAATGGCGCCCTCCTCCAGTCCCCTCCACAGCGCGGTTTCTCCCCAGCACAGCATCCATCTCAGCGTAGTACCTGAAACTGCAGGGCTGGGAGTCGTCCTCGCTCATCAGCAGCTTGGCTCTGACGTAGTTGGCCTTGAGGGTCTTGACGCGGAGCCGGCACTGATGAGGGCTGCGTGAGAAGCCCAAGTCACACATGCGGGCTGAGAGGTGTTTGAAGACATGGCGGTTACGGACATTCTCTGCCAGGCTCTTCTGCACGCGCTCGTCACTCCAGGCACACAGCAACACCTGGGTCTCTTCCACCGTCCAGTTGACGGAGCGCTCGGCCTCTCGCTTTCCTGCAGGAAAGAGTATAGTACAGTTACAGTTATAGTAATGTTCAAACACGATGGCTGACTGTGGCAACACCTTATCAACATGTACAGGAGCTAGGTTTATACAGTGCAGAGGCTGGTGGGAAACTACATGTTTGACTCCGTTCCATTAATTCCATTCCAGCCATTACAATAAGCCCGTCCTCCTATAGCTCATTCCACCAGCCTCCCCTGATACAGTGGTACTAGCTGATATTACTAGACGTGTTACGTCGAAGCAAATGACACTGAATTATAGGAAAACAGGTGTGTCTTAATTCCTGGCTGCAAAAGTGTGAAGCATGCAGACTACTGACGGTGCTAGAGTCCCTTAGTTATGAAGTCCCTTTAAATAACAAGCTAAAATCTCTCAAATGTTAGCTAGAATGTTTGGCAACAGTACCGTGACTGTTGACAATTATTTTAAAGTACCTAGCTAGTTAGCTACTAAGCAAGAGTAGTTTCAGTTTGCTAACTAATAACAAAAACGGGCATATCAAGGCTATAAAACATGCGCATCTTTGATAACAAAGTGAAATCGAAGCATTGCCAGGATGTCTAGCTAGCTAGCTAGCTCTTTCCTGACTTTGGCTAGCTTCACAGCACGTTATGAATGAGAGATGCATGTAACGTTTGCTATTTGTAAAACGTTAAAACATACAGCACCTTTTCATTAACTTACTTTTAGTAGAAGTTGTCACCGAGTTGATAATTGGAGGATTCATTTTTGCTTTCGTTGTAAACATCCACAGATAACGGTGTGGTTTCCTCTCTTCCGGTTTCAGAGTATTGTTTGCGTGACGCCACCAAGAGACAAGAGAACGTTTCATTTTTTTTTATAATGTAAGAACTGAAAGCTACAATAGTAAATAGTCTATTGAATTCAATATTAAAATACCACATAAAATGTTCCCAAGTAAAGTATGTGATCAGGCAAAAATAAAGAAAAGACAAATGTTTTTACTCATCATAATGTATTAAAATTGCTCTCTCTCCTAATAAGACAATGTGAGAACAGTGTGTCTTGTAAAGCACTGGCTGGGTCTATGTGCATTCTCAGGCAGGCTGCTGGAAGCATTACACCCCGTGTGTGTGTGTACAGTTGAAGTCAGAAGTTTACATACACTTAGGTTGGAGTCATTAAAACTCGTTTTTCAACCACTCCACAAATGTCTTGTTAACAAACTATAGTTTTGGCAAGTCGGTTAGGACATCTACTTTGTGCATGACACAAGTAATTTTTCCAACAATTGTTTACAGACAGATTATTTCACTTATAAGAAGTCAGAAGTTGACTGTGCCTTTAAACAGCTTGGAAAATTCCAGAAAATTATGTCATGGCTTTAGAAGCTTCTGACAGGCTAATTGACATCATTTGAGTCTATTGGAGGTGTACCTGTGGATGTATTTCAAGGCCTACCTTCAAACTCAGTGCCTCTGCTTGACATCATGGGAAAATAAAAAGAAATCAGCCAAGACCTCAGAAATATATCCACAGTAAAACGAGTTCTATATCGACATAACCTGAAAGGCCGCTCAGCAAGGAAGAAGCCACTGCTACAGTTTGCAACTGCACATGGGGACAAATATCGTACTTTTTGGAGAAATGTCCTCTGGTCTGATGAAACAAAAATAGAACTGTTTGGCCATAATAACCATCGCTATGTTTGGAGGAAAAAGGGGGATGCTTGCAAGCCGAAGAACACCATCCCAACCGTGAAGCACGGGGGTGGCAGCATCATGCAGTGGGGGTGCTTTGCTGCAGGAGGGACTGGTGCACTTCACAAAATAGATGGCATCATGAGGAAGGAAAATGATGTGGATATATTGAAGCAACATCTCAAGACATCAGTCAGGAAGTTAAAGCTTGGTCGCAAATGGGTCTTCCAAATGGACAATGACCCGAAGCATACTTCCAAAGTTGTGGTAAAATGGCTTAAGGACAACAAAATCAAGGTATTGGAGTGGCCATCACAAAGCCCTGACCTCAATCCTATAGACAATTTGTGGGCAGAACTGAAAAAGCGTGTGCGAGCAAGGAGGCCTACAAACCTGACTCAGTTACACCAGCTCTGTCAGGAGGCCTATTCCCCCTCAGGAGACTAAAAAGATTTGGCATGGGTCCTCAGATCCTCAAAAAGTTCTACAGCTGCACCATCGAGAGCATCCTGACTGGTTGCATCACCGCCTGATATGGCAACTGCTCGGCCTCCGACCGCAAGGCACTACAGAGGGTAGTGCGTACGGCCCAGCACATCACTGGGGCCAAGCTTCCTGCCATCCAGGACCTCTATACCAGGCGGTGTCAGAGGAAGGCCCTCAAAATTGTCAAAGACTCCAGCCACCCTAGTCATAGACTGTTCTCTCTGCTACCGCACGGCAAGCGGTACCGGAGCGCCAAGTCTAGGTCCAAAAGGCTTCTCAACAGCTTCTACCCCCATGCCATAAGACTCCTGAACAGCTAATCATGGCTACCCGGACTATTTGCACCCCCCAATCTTTTTACGCTGCTGCTACTCTGTTAATTATTTATGCATAGTCACTTTAACTCTACCCACATGTACATATTACCTCAACGACCTCAACTAGCCGGTGCCCCCGCACATTGACTCTGCACCGGTACCCCCCTGTATATAGCCTCCCTACTGTTATTTTATTTTACTTCTGCTCTTTTTTTCTCAACACTTTTTTGTTGTTGTTTTATTTTACTTTTTTATTAAGAAATAAATGCATTGTTGGTTAAGGGCTGTAAGTAAGCATTTCACGGTAATGTCTACACCTGTTGTATATCAGCGCATGTGGCAAATAAATTTTGATTTGAGCTTGTGGAAGGCTACCCGAAACGTTTGACCCAACTAAACAATTTAAAGGCAATGCTACCAAATTCTAATTGAGTGTATGTAAACTTCTGACCCACTGGGAATGTGATGAAAGAAATAAAAGCTGAAAATAATCATTTTCTCTACTATTATTCTGACATTTCACATTCTTAAAATAAAGTGGTGATCCTAACTGACCTAAAACAGGGAATTTTTACTAGGATTAAATGTCAGGAATTGTGAAAAACTGAGTTTAAATGTATTTGGCTAAGGTGTATGTAAACTTCCGACTTCAACTGTATGTGTGTGTGGAGGAGGGGGTGAAAGCTTTTCTGAGCTTCCCAATACTGCAATGGGCAGTGCATTCTGCAATTTATATATTACATTTTAGTCATTTAGCAGACACTCTTATCCAGAGCGACTCAGCCACAGCCATAGCCATGTTGGAAACATACCAATCACAGAATCACAGTGTGAGAGATTGGCTATTCTACAGCCAGTAGGCAACACTGCATAGTAGTGATAGCTTCATAAAGATGGCTAGAGGACACAATTTGGATGTAAGGTGTTTTAACATGAGGGATTCCACCATTTTAAAGTAGTAGTCAACTGGGTGGAACTTCCAACTTCATTGGCTGATCTCTCCTGATGACCCAGTCGGAGTCATGTCCAACTGGGTCGTCAGGAGGGATCAGCTAATCGTGAAGGACATTTTACCAGCTACATTGCCTCAATGGCCGTGCAACGCACAGATGCCATAATGGGAACTAAATAGGGTTGTTTCCTCTATCCATCTCTATGGATAGCCTGGAGCATAGAGATCACACACACACACACACACACACACACAACCACTGTCTCACCCTGCATATTAGCTACTGGTTCTCTTCTCCTCTTTCTGTGCTCACTGACCTTCTGCTCATCATGCCAGGGAGAGATATACAACCAATCTCTCTTTCTTTCTTTCTCTCTCTCTCTCTCTCTCTCTCTCTCTCTCTCTCTCTCTCTCTCTCTCTCTCTCTCTCTCTCTCTCTCTCTCTCTCTCTCTCCTCTCTCTCTCTCTCTCTCTCTTCTCTTCTCTGTGTGTGTGTGCATGATATACAACCTGTCTGCTCAGTAAGGGGAGAATACATCCCATAATTCCCCATCCCTTCTCCCCTGCCCTGGCCAGACATTATTACAGGCCTATCCTTGTTATTTATTACAGTAATATATTATCACAAAGCTCAGCCTGTCCCTGGGAAGTCACGCTTTTAGCAAGATAACTGTTCCTGAGGTAAAACCCTACATCTGAAAAAGATCACGTTCTGGTGGTAACACAGTCTTCACCTGCTTATGTTCATGGCAAAGATGAAGTGTTACGGTTCCATTCATCTGTGTCTGGATGAGTCCTCTCATGTAATGTGTGTGTGTGTGTGTGTGTGGTGTGTGTGTGTGTGTGTGTGTGTGTGTGTGTGTGTGTGTGTGTGTGTGTGTGTGTGTGTGTGTGTGTGTGTGTGTGTGTGTGTGCATACACCCCCCCCCCCCCCACCCCCACACACCCCCCGCAGAATTTTTAAAAGCACATATGGCACGATAATCATCACCAAGTAATTTATGAGACATGAGAGTGAGCTTTAGAGATGTGATGTGGGACTCTCTGTATAATAGGCCTGCTGCTTTAGCTTTCAAGGCAGGCAGCCCCAAGCCCACAGAGGCTGAGGCTGCGTCCCCAATGCACCCTATTCCCTTTATAGTGCACTACATTTGACCAGATCCCTATAAAATGGGCCCTATAAAGCGAGTACTGCACTATAAAGGGAATACGGTGCCATTTGGTACACGCGGTCCAAAAATGTTATCCTTCCACCCACTCCAATTACAGAACACCCTAGCGGCCTGCGTGGGACGTCCTCTAATCCCGCTGCCCCTTTATAGCTTCCACCTGCCAATTATGTGGCAGCCATTTTTAACCAATGTAATGGCGAACCAATAGCCATCAACCATGTAAAAACTGGGTCTGGATGTGGAGTACTACAGTAAGAAGAACTAGAAACCATCTGTGAAAAGGATTCCTTTCATTCCACTCCTCTCAAAACAACAACCATAGGTGCATCCCAAATGGGGGCACCCTTTCCTGCTTCTGGGCCCTGGTCTCTGGGCCCTGGTCTCTGGGCCCTGGTCTCTGGGCCCTGGTCTCTGGTCTCTGGGCCCTGGTCTCTGGGCCCTGGTCTATGGGCCCTGGTATATGGGCCCTGGTCAACAGTAGTGCACTAAAGGGAATAGAGGATGGTGCGATGACGCAAAAGCGTAAAAATTGAGCTAAGTACAGACCAACGTCTCCTGAGTACAGACCAACGTCTCCTGAGTACAGACCAACGTCTCCTGAGTACAGACCAACGTCTCCTAAGTACAGACCAACGTCTCCTGAGTACAGACCAACGTCTCCTGAGTACAGACCAACGTCTCCTGAGTACAGACCTTCGGGTCAATCCTACAAACCTTCGGTCAATCCTTCATCTCCTGGTTACCTACCTTCGCCTCCTGAATAAAACCAAGTAAAATGACCTATAAATCGACTGGCTCTCTTGACAACCTTGAGTCAGTTGGGAGTAGTGAGTACTCTGAAGTTGAGCCTGACCAGCATGACGTACCCGCAGCAACATGTGTGGTAGACACTTCCAGCGTGACTTTGGACCGGTAGGAGTGACTTTGGACCGGTAGGAGTGATTTTGGACCGGCATGAGTGACTTTGGACCGGTAGGAGTGACTTTGGACCGGTAGGAGTGACTTTGGACTGGTAGGAGTGACTTTGGACCGGTAGGAGTGAGATTTTTTGGAAAAGGGGATTCCTGCTTTTTGGCTGTCCCATACGTTGTTTCAGGCTGGGTAAAGGACAAACTGGGAGCTGCGCAACACGCGTCTCGGTGTCACGACTTCCGCCGAGGCCTAAGACCCCTAGACATAACGAGTCAGGTTA